CTCCCCGTGCCATGTGGCGACCCCCCATGCCATGTGGCACCTTTTTGTGCCATGTGGCGACTCCCCGTGCCCGTGCCATGTGGCGATTCCCCGTGCCATGTGGCGACTCCCTGTGCCATGTGGCGATTTCCCGTGCCATGTGGCGACCCCCCATGCCATGTGGCACCTCTTTGTGCCATGTGGCGACTCCCCGTGCCATGTGGCGACTCCCCGTGCCATGTGGCGACCCCCCATGCCATGTGGCACCTTTTTGTGCCATGTGGCGACTCCCCGTGCCATGTGGCGACTCCCCGTGCCATGTAGCGACTCCCGTGCCATGTAGCGACTCCCGTGCCATGTGGCGACTCCCCGTGCCATGTGGCGACTCCCTGTGCCATGTGGCGATTTCCCGTGCCATGTGGCGACTCCCCGTGCAATGTGGCGACTCCCCGTGCCATATGGCGACTCCCCGTGCCATGTGGCGACTCCCCGTGCCATAAGGCGCCTCACGTGCGCTTCGTGGATGTAATTCTTGGGCATAATCAATGTTCAAAAATTAGATTGTCATTCTTCGAACTTGGCGTGTCAGTTCTTCACTGCGAGCTTCATCAAAGAGCAGCCGAACAAAGATCATCTTATTGATATTTTCACGGCCTGCAAGCAAAGGCCATGCAGTGAGGCAGATCTCGCAGCTCCGATGTCTGCAGCATGCAATGACAGCGTAGAGATACCAGAAAAGCCTCACGAATTAATCAATTAACTAACGAGATCAATCAGAACCAATATACCGGAAATTTTCCCACTTTTATCGATGGAGATAACAATATAGATAACAAATCAGGGGCGGGAATTTGGCCCCAAGTAAACGGTTATTTCTAAGCCACTCTAACGCCTACGGTCCTCAGAGCAGGGGCGCGGCAGCATTAATTCCATCTCGTCAGGTTCCGTACGACAAGTTAGGTTATCACAACGAAAACACGCACGGATTAGAAACGTTATGAACTTTTAACCGCCAACATAGCTTAAAACTATAAAAGAAAATACTATTAAAGAATAACCGTTAAAATAGCTTAAAAATATAATAGAAAATGCTTTTAATATAAGTATTTTTTAAGAATAAATAAAAAACTTATATTACTTATAAGAATAATCAGTATCATTGGCTAGTACTGATTTTGAGGCCCTGTTAACCAAGGGAGCAAGTGACCGCTGTTGGAACACGTCGCACCTGTTGAATATCTTCCCAAATGCAGTTTTTAGGTACAAATCTGTGTGAGAAATTTTGCGTACCTTTGACATAGTCGCAGGGCATGATCTCCGACAGGAGGACAAGGCCCTTCTCCTTGAGCTTGGTGACGATTTCGCAGTCTCGCGGCTTCGTTTGGCACCTGCAATGCACACACGCATTCACTCAACTTAAAGCAATTAAAACACACTACGCTAAAAAATAACACACAACACAAAACAGCAAAATGAACAATAAACAAATCACAATCAATGTTCAAACAACATCGATAACGAGTTTATTTCGTTGAATGAGCGTTATTTCAACGTAAGATTCATATTGAGAATGTCCCATAAATGACCCAAATTCCCTTATCACGTCCCACGCGTAAATGAAATCGAGAACGCTTGAAATTTCCGCTGCTTTGTCGAAAAAACAAACAATTTATAGTCCTTAAATTATAATCCTTTCCTAATTTACAATACTTTTTAATCCTAAAATCTCGTGTTGAATTGTCGCCGTCAAATACATCCGAATCGAACGCGACGTAGGAGAGATGCACGCTGTATGCGATTAACTCAACAGAACAAAAGGCAAAATATTAGTCATAATAAATCTGCACTGAGAAAAATCAAAGACAAACTAATGAGATGACGCTTATTAGACTCACAATTTCTGTTTAATAAATATTAATGTAAGTAATAAATATTTAAGTAGATATTATACCCGTAGAAGTAAACAAACAGTGTCAGCGATTTAAGTATTTCGTCTCAATATAAATTCAAGCATTGAATACGAAAACTGTTGGATTCTATTCATTTTACTTTAGCGAAAGTTTTACCATTAGTATATCATCAAACTGCAAACATCTAAGTTATTATCTCATGAGTACAGAAAAATATGGTATATTCGTTGAGACATCGTAGAGCAACATCGATACTTACATGCCCGAGGAGAGGAGGAACATGATGAGCAGTATCATGTTTTGAGGCGAACATGAGGAACTCGACGGCAGCGGTCCAACAGGTGCAGATAATTCTATTACATATTCTTCAGAGAAATTTTATAACATCTTCCTTAAAACCAAGGAAATTATGAATTACTGATTTCCCTGTGTGTCACTAGGCACTCTCCATCTCGAAGCATTTTTCGGCTTTAAATTGTCCATTCTACTACCGCAAATTTTTAAAATTCGGTGAAATAAAAAAATACACTAAATTAGCTGCAGTTTTTCTATAAAAAAATCACAAGCTCCTGCGAGTTTTATAAATCGTATGCTCCTGATTTAGAAAACGATGAAAATATTATTATCTCATTCGTTCCATGATTAGAATGTTTTTATTTCAGGTAATAGATACTTGAAAGTGGTCCCAAATTTCGGTAAATAGTTCTTAGGTAATTTATATATGAATTTTTAAAGGTGAAATTATTTTTTGCTTTCAAATTTAGTCGCACAAATCAATATTGAGCCAAAGTTACCATAACTTGTGGGAGTAACCTGCATATTGTGGAATTACAGTACATGACTGATCAACGAAAACAGAACAGTACAGAACGATTTATTCAAGCAGAGACGTAAAATAAAATGGTATTTGGTCTCACGTAAGTCAAGTCAAAAATCAAACTTAACCGACATCGCGTTGTGAGATGACGCGCTGACAGCACGCGAAACCCAGCAAATAAATCGAAATGAATGAGCAAGTACACCATTGTTCAAAAAAGGTGACAAAAGCAGCCCCGGCAACTATCGCCCTGTCAGTCTGACAAGTGTTGTTTGTAAGCTTTTGAAATGCCTAGCTCCTTATCGAACCCGGTGGAAGTCTAGTAGCTTCTTCAAACTATCGCCAGTCATGAAAAGATCCGGTCAAATGACACGAGTTTAGATCTATGAACAAGGCACGAAATGGAAAAGAATCGGCGACAGGCCACATCAGGCCTACACTTCAGAGCCGACATCACTATGTTATGTTATGTTATGTTAAGTATATATATGCGTGTCATTTGTTTGAATAACTCAGGATTATTGCTAAAAAAATTTGCATCATCATATATCCCGAATAATATTTCTTGGATTTAAACAATAACGATAACTTTTCGCTGTCAAAAACTGGCTCGAAAGTTTCATTTGTTGTAGAACATAATTATCACAGAAAAAAAGCTCCTATAGAATACAGAGTTTAAAAAAATGTTGAACTTTTAAGATTAAATTGTCACAAAACCGTTGAAAGAATTTAAAAATTGCATTAAAAACACTGGTATAACCCGAATGCCCCGAAATGTCAACCATCCTCGCCGGTGTAAAGGGCGGCGCGGCTACTCAATAACAATACAGTATAACGCGTCCCATTGAGGATTGTTATTGTCATAATAACGTCACAAACTTTAAGCAATACAATTCATATAAAATAAATAAATAACCAAAAATTTCTTGCCCCGAGACAACATGCAGGCGTAGCCAGGAGCGTTCCGATGATCAAACGAATCCTGCCTGCTCTGCAGCAGTGGTTCCCCAACTTTTGCAGGCTGGCGCCCCCATTGGCTTCCAAGTACTTCATAGAGAATTAGTACCCCCCACAGACTGATAATGTTCACATAGTGCCCCCACAGACACAAAAAAACCCAGATTTTAAATATTTTCAAAAATTTACACTCGAAACCCAGGAGAGGTTAAAAAAATATAACTCAGTACTCACTGCAGTGAGTGACAGAGAGCGCATTTTCTCGTCGACGAAAACTTGAGGTCACAGACATACGGGCAGACAGACAGACGGACGGACGAACATGGCGACCACAATAGTGAATTTTTATCAAAAAAGAGAAAATGCGCTAAAAAGATCTAGGTGGAAAAACCTATCGCTGGGATCCGTGTAGGACTGTAGGTGCACGTGTTGTGTACAAATGGTCAAACAAACGTTCGAACTTCGACTTCTGACTGCCGCCCGCGCCCATAGATATCATAATAGCATAGTATCAGCACCTAATTATTATGAGAGGATACAACTCATGAGATATCGAAGACACAAAGACAGAGAATTGAGACGAACCCCACAAGTAAACTATTTAAAGTAACTATTTCAGGTTTATAGGATGCGGTTAGAATGCGCTCATGGTGAGAACTCAAGAAAACATTAGATATTAGAAATAGAATAGAAAAATAGAAGTGTCGGCGCTGAAGAAATAGGCCCATGGCCAGTTGCCGATTCATGTACTTTTCGTGACTTGATTCACAAGGGATCTAAAAACCAGCCTTTTGACCAGATCTTCTCATAACTCACATTTGTTTGAAATGACTACTGGACTAGGTCTGTAAGGTGCTAGGCATTTCATGACTGAACATATGCTTCTGTATAGCTTTGTCTAGTCTGTTCTTGAACGAGTTTCTACTCGGAGCGTCAACGTTGTCATCTGGGAGTCTGTTCTACACGTTCATCCTACCTTCTGGGGCACCGAAAATTAGATAGTCACGACAGACGAATAGAAAACTGGATATTAAATGATTTACTACAATTTAAAAATTTTATTCGTTAATTGATTGACTAATTTATTCGTGATATTCACATTACATTTTGCAGGCATAATATCATATCAATTTTGACGCAAAACTTGGATACCGTCGACGCTACTGCTTAGCATGGAAGCTCTGAAAGGCTCTTTAAATTATAGGTATTTCAAACAAAATTTGATGACTTCAGAGATCCCAAAAATAGCCGTCCGGCCATATATAATTTTACTAACATAATTTTAAAAATTTCGTAGCCCAGTGGTTCTGGAGATGCCAAAATGAGACCGCCAACCATAATGAATAAATTCTTCCGGGATATTTGTCGTTTGGCGTGATAACTCGGACACAGGCGTGGCCTTTTGGAATCGTCTGAATTAATACTGAAGGAGCCGTGCGTCAGAAGCTGCACTTTAGCCGTAACCTTTGTCGAGCTAGAGGCCGAGGTGATGAGTTGCCAAAACTAACACAGAGCACCGAGCGGCGAGCGTCCGAGCCTCTTATTAGCGAAGGCATTATTGTAATACTGTCATATATAATGGAATTATTAGACTATGGATTCATGGAATCAATAGTTCAATTTGACGAGAAGATTAGACGTGGAAAATTATTGTTAGTGTTACATTGGACTGATTGGAACCGTTGTGTGATTGTTAAGCGTGCGGTTTAAACAATAATTTTTATTAACTTTGTTTTTCGAATTCATGACCGAAACCAAAACAATTATAAGCCCGCTATGCTTCTACTTATATAAAAATAGTTTCATTGGCAGTAGATAAATGCCTACAAGTTACAACACAATACCCGTGGGCCGTGGCCGGTGGCTGTAGTCGCAAAAAAGTTGGCATCGCTTGGATTCGCTCCCATTGAAAAAAATTATGCAGATTTCACAAATTCAAAAAAGTCTTGAAATGCGCTTTGCAGGGAGAATGTGTTAAAGCAGCTGCATGTTCAAAGTGAAAAATAGGAAATATTAAAACGTATAAAATGATAGTGCATTTAGTGTTGCTAACGCTAACGGCACGATAAATCGATGACTAAAACTGCATCGATCAGCTAAAATTACTAAGATCTCGAAGCTTCCAGTTCCACACTATGGATGTCGTTTTTTAAAGTTGTGGAGACAATTCCATATTCTTCCAGAAAAACTTTTAAAATTAATTAAATAATAACAAAACCAAAGTTCAGTTGATTGAAACAAATCCGGAGAAAGAGCTGGTTATCACAAAATGAAAATCCAAGGACACATCACTCCATCACTCACGACTGCCACACGCAGACTGAGCTCAGCGAGTGATGTCAACTCCAGCCACGCGCCAGGCAATGCATCCGTGACCCCTAACCAAGTTCAGGTGCAGTCGATCCCAAGATTTGAATTATCTCAATTGGCAGTATTGTTATTCACCAACTATTATATAGAGCAAGGTTTAAACTTAAATTTGAACTGCCTGGTTTTATTTTCGAAAGCCTTGTTCGGTTGAAACTTCAATAATGAAATTAGACAATGGACTGGAACTGAGACAAACGTGACTGATTTCCAAGATGAGCCAAGTAATTTTTAAGTTATAACTCACGCAAGTTTTGGGTAAATACAATGTGAATCGACTTGTGAGCTCCCTGCCTTAGGTTATTTGTATCAATCATTCAACGTATTAACAATGAAAGTGCCTCAGCAGGTTGAACTAACTTTGCGTTTGCATTTTTAGTAGCGTAATTTCGAGAACTTTTAGCATAAGCCCACGTAAACTTGGCATTTGCTGAGATTTTGGCGCCTGATTTACCATATAAATGCAAAAAATTTTCCTTCCGCCCCGTTTTATTTATATTATTACAGCCGCTTCTGTTCATCGATGAGGAACACGTGAAATGAATATTTACTGTTCAGCAGTCTACCGCGCCAATTAACATTAACCAATCTTTGAATGGGAAAAATAAAAACTTCCGAAGTTACGAACTAATCTCATTTTTATTTTTGTTAAGACATTTCCTGGAGAGGCTTTACCTCGCCTTAGCAAGCGATAAGCAGAGGTCTTGAGGATTAACTTTTTGTGAAGATCCAACTTCGTTCAGGCCAAGTCCTAAAAAAATTATTCATCTTTCGTTCATGAAGAAATACACACGAAAGAAATTCAATTTGAGTAGCAAGAGTTGCATTTTTCGACATGATAAATAGGAGTTTCCGTATCATTTATTATAGATACAATCGCAAATCAAACGCGACATATATAAAAGAACGTCTATGTGAATTCAGCATATTGTTAGTATAGTCGAAAGTCATGCCGTTTAGAGGGAAACGCGTGCCATTGAAACGGGAAAAGTTCAACTTCCCCGAGAGCATCTGGAATCATTAAAAAAATTTTCCAACGAATATCCGTATCTTTTGTGACATTACCGAGATTTTCGTGCGGTACAAAACTCTGCATATTTAATACATCATTCGAAATTACTCACAAACATTTATTAATAACCTCCAGATTGGAAATTATTTCAATTTTTCCCGATCATCACGGACTTTTTTAAATACACGATATTTGTATTAATTGCATTGCTCACTCAAGATATTTGCTACAAGTTCCTAAATTAAAGTATTTTTATTCAGAAAACTAGTATAATTGAAGGGAAAAATGTTCAGTGCTGGGACTGCTGGATCTGCTCCTTGAGCTGCAGGATGGAGGATTGCTGCTCAGGCGGCAGCATTCTGATCTGCTCGTCTGACAGCTGCAGCACCTGCATGATCAAGCTCGCCTGCGTGGAAAAAATAGACATTATTTTACTTTTTAAGTTCAAAATCACGTTAAAACAACGCGGCTAACTGAATTAAACTGTGAGCTCAAGAATTATTTCATTTTTTTTAGATTGAAATCAGGATATAATTACGTGGTTAACTGAATTAAACTGTGACCTCAATAATTATTTATTTTTTTAGATTAAAATCATGTTGAAACAGCGTGGTTAACTGCATAAAACTGTAAGCTCATGAATTATTTCATTTTTATAGATTAAAATGAGGATAAAACTACGTGGGTAACTGAATTAAACTATAAGCTCATGAATTATTTAATTTTTTTAGAATAAAATCAGGATAAAACGACGTTTAAAACTGAATTAAACTGTGAACTCGTGAAACTAGAAATGCAGCTCTCAAAACAGAGGTTAACAGGTCAGTTATTTTCGTTAAATTTTTTAAAGCAAAAACATCGCGTTATCAAACTTGACTTTGCTTAGTGACGGTAAATGGTGGGACTCGTGCATAAAATAAAATTAACAGAAGTGTGGCTGCGGTTAAATAATTAGTTTTACCGCCTTATAAATTTTCTACTTGATTGATATTTGCAACGAAATGATGCCTGCTAACTACTGTTGGCATCCTTATTGCAAACTAGAATTTCCTCCCAATAACTTAATGATTACTGACCAATAAGTCAACACAGCCCTTCACTCGCCGTTCTCTAATAATTATGTTTTAATTAGAAATGAGAGTGATTAATTCAAGTGATACACTTGACAACTGTTAAATATTACAGAAAACTTCTTATGTAATTTTTAAATGATTTGTAATTTAATTCTCAACTATTTAAGCCTATATACATATTAGTACTACAAGACATCAAAAAAATTCCACAAGTCAAGAATGCAATAAAAATTGAGACCTTGAAACAGAACTACTCTGTGGTCTTCACAATAATGCTCTTGTTCGCTTTAAGGACGATATAAATAAAGCAAATAAAGTAGTAAAAATAAAGCAGTAAAGTAGTAAAAATGAAACATATTAAGTATTAAAAATAAAGCAGGTAAAGTAGTAAAAATGAAAGAGATCAAGTATTAAAAAAAGCAGATCAAGTAGTGAAATAAAGCAGTAAAGTAGTAAAAATGAAACAGATTAAGTATTAAAAATAAAGCAGGTAAAGTAGTAAAAATGAAAGAGATCAAGTATTAAAAAAAGCAGATCAAGTAGTAAAATAAAGCAGTAGTAGACTGACCTTCTCTTGGTCGTGCCCTGCAAGCCCAGACGTGAGGCTCGCTGGCAAGCCCGAGCCTCCTGAAGGCGGCCCTGCTACACGATCATTATTATTATTATTATGTGGTACATTACCACATACTGTCCATTACCACGTCACATACATTATCATAGTGTAACCTAAACCATTTACTCAAAAATAGTAAGAACGATTAAATAAATTCACGAGCGATTCAATGTTCAGTTTAATTCACATATGAATACCTTATCTGGCTAAAAGTTTTCTTGTCAGGTTTAATTAGTGAGAAGTTTAACGTGTAATGTATTGTTAATCTCAAAGCCCTTAATAATGCTAGGTGAAAAAGGTAATATCCTCGTTAAGATGCCGAGCTAAACAAAGATCCCTACCAAATAAAATAGTAAAATCAATGGCGAAAAAATTACTACATTATGTTCATGCATTGAGTCAACTAGATATGCTAGATTTATTACTGGGGCAAACAAATTACGAATAATTGTGAAGCGTCAAACTGGAATATACCGTACTTCTAAGCAAATGTTTCTTTGATTAATGTTGAAAAAATAATATTTAAAGATGGCGACTCATTGAGTGACATGTTTACCTCTGGGGAAGTCGTCTGCTGGAGGCGGACCTCCTCTGCTGCGGGGATCTCTGGCGGAGTCAAGAGGCGCCCTGAAGTCTCGGTCACCGCTCCCACGTGGCTCGTCGCGCCCTCGCGGGTCACGCTGGTCCATCCTATGAATACAGGATCTTATTCTGATACTAATACTTCAAATGTTATCATGAACAGACTTGCCTTCAATGATACTCAATTCAATTAACAATGATTTTGTGGAGAGTTTTGCTAGCCGTATTTAATTTTGTCTTGAAAGTATTCGTGCATGATATACACAAGATTCTTAAATGAGAAAGAGGCCTTAACATCGTTATAAACTCTCCAAAGTTAGAGTTGAAGTTCAGTTACACAATGAGGTGAGAATAGCGGTGGAACGTTCAATCACTTCCCCGGGCATTAAAAATATCATTAAAACAGATTGGTCAATCATTTCTCCTTGCATTGAAAAATATCATTAGAACAGATAGATCAATCAGTTCTCCAAGCATTGAAAAATATCATTAGAACAGATTGGTCAATCAGTTCTCCGGTCATTAAAAATATCATTACAACAGATTGGTCAACGAGTTCTCGAAACTTTAAAAATATCATTAGAACAGATTGGTCAACGAGTTCTCGGGACTTTAAAAATAGCATTAGAACAGATTGGTCAATCAGTTCTCCGGTCATTAAATATATCATTAGAACAGATTGGTCAACGAGTTCTCGGGACTTTAAAAATATAATTAGAACAGATTGGTCGATCAGTTGAGCAAAGTCATTGAAGACATCATCAGTTGACCCTCCCAGACATAGGAGAGTTAAAGTTTGCTAGAATATAAAGCCGTGCCTCGCGTCGCGGCCGTCGCGTGGGAAGGGCGGCTGGTCTCGGTAGCGAGGCTCCCGCTGGTCCATGTCACCGCCTCGGCCATCGCGTCCGAACCTGGACACGCATGTTGAAAATTGCAATGATTGCGTTTTGACTTTGTAAGGGTTTCACAAATGGAAAAAGTTACAAACACGTTGATAGCTGTATTAATTGCGCTTTTTCATCTAACAATCACTACTACACCAATATTATGTTTTGTCATTATTGTTTATTTATCTTCCAGTTATTTCACGCCTGGAACAAACAAAATTCGAGATTTGTGATTTAATTTAGGACACAAAGAGATGCATTTCATGTTAGCCAAGTATAAAAAAAATACAATAACTACATATACAAAATGAATCACTTACCAAGAAGTCTGAAGAATTGCAAGATACAACACACACAAAGAGATGAGAAAATATTTTGGATTAAAGATTAAAGGAAAAATTTCCTGCAATATTTTACAATTATATTACATTTAGAGTGATATTTGCACAATGGAGGCACCTGCTATCAAAGTCTCCGTGGTGTTGGGGGGGAAAGTCCATGGGAGGGCCACGTGGGGGCCCAGCCATCCTCATGTCCTGGTCAGACCCCCGAGGCGGGGGACCACGGAGGTCAAAATCACCACCACCTCCCCCGCCGTAAGGAGGAGGTCCACCCCCAGGAGGTCCTTGCATTCCTTGAGGTCCAAGATGATGCGGAGGACCTGGTGGCATGTGAGGGGGGCCGCTGAGGTGTGGAGCAGCTGCTGGAGGAGGTCCTTGAAGGCCAGGTATGTGGGAAGGCCCTCCTGGAGCCCCCTGCATGGAGGGGCCGCTGGGATGCATGTTAGGTCCTCCGTAGCGTGATGACCCAGAGCCTGATGGGGGCAGACCATTGCTGGAGGCAGAAGAACCTTTGCCCACACCTGATGATAAATATAAATTGTAAGTACATGCATGATGATTTATGCATACATTCAAACACATGCATGAATGAACGATTCAAACACATACATGTATATATGATTCAGCAAAACATATTAAATGAAATATTAAACTGTTCCATAGCTGACAGACATCACTCAGGTAACAAGACAGTTAAGCGCAGCTGAAAGTTATCATTCCAGAAAATGGCTATAACGTTATCAAAATTTTCATTTACAAAGTGAGACTTTCATGCTATTTATTAAGTAGCATTTCGGAATGATAAGAATGCTTACCATTAGAATGACCTGGCTCTTTTTTTGGGTTGACTGTCGTTGAGCCAACTTCTCCATGTAGGAGTTGCACGGCTGTTTTTGGGTCAATTATGCGCATCACCACCTGTAGTTAGTGGGAATAGCTTTGTAATAAGTGAAAAATAACTCGAAGTTCATTCTATCATTGACACAGTCGGTCAACAAATAAATTTTATATGATGACATTTCTTACTAAATCTACAGATTGATCAGGAAAAACACATTTATTGGTGCTGTTCTCTTCAACAGATTCTTGAAAATAGCTTGTCTGACATTGATAGTGATTTGAATTTGAAATGAACAACGAACTTGAAGAAATATAAAAATTCAGGAAACAAATCAGACAATTATTACCTGGGCTTGAAGGAGGGCATATGCCAACTGAGGATTGTTGAGCAGCATAGTTCGAGCTTCAGATCTGTTGCTGCGGACACAGACCTGAAATAATGGGGAAATGATCAAACCATGAACTTATGTTCGCAATTTTCAACAACAATATGAATCAAACAATGAAAATTGTTGAAAATTAAAATTTTACTTTTTACAAATACCAAACAATATAGGTACTATTTACATATACCAAACATATACTATTTTACATATACCATATACCAAAATTATAAAAAGCTATAAAAATCTCACCAATGAAGATTCATCTCATTTTAACAACATATTCATCAAATGAACCATCAATACCCTTGCAATACCTGCATTTGCCTCATCAGCTCAAACATTTGCTCAGGAGGTAACGATGCCACTGCATTACTGATGGCCTCGGGGGCCTGGCTGGGCTCCACGTCTGGGCCGTAGGGGCTCTCAACAACAGGTCCCATCATCAAGCCTGTAATTGCACAAGTTCACAAGAGAACATGAAAAATTTCCTAACACGCCCTTGAAGTTTTTTTTAACCAGAAATTTCAATAATTTCTTCATAGAATAATAATAAGTTGAAGGAAACTGGCAAAGTTAACCCTTGAGAACACACCATTATAAAAAATTATGTTTACACACACACCATCAATTTTCACTGGGTAAAGTTTTGAAACAGAAATAAATTGATAGAAGTTTCAAATAAGAATCAGGGTAATTATATACTGTTTGAATTTTAGGGAAATTAAAATAGCTAAGGAAGTTGAATCTAACGAAAATTTAAAATAGATAAGCATGGATATAAATTTTTGCACTAATGATTATTGGGTTTTAAGCAGCCAGTCATCAACAATTAACATTAAAATGTGTAATAAACATGTGTTAATATGACATTTAATAATGCTACTCACTCTGCATTTCCATTCGGCTTTTTTCTGTGCAAGCATTATCCACTCTCAGTGGCCGACCCCCAATTTCAAATCCATTGAGGTTCCGCATGGCAGAAAGAGCCGTTTCTTGATCCTTGTATTCGCAAAAGCCATAGCCTCTTGGTTTACCTGATTCACGATCATGCATCAACCTGATTTGGAAGAATAAAACTGATATTACAGAAGCTCAAAATTCAAGCATTGTTATTTTTCAATTTCATGAAACCAGTTAAGATTTTGATAATTCTGAATAGATAGTTTGATTTATTCACTTACTTGAATGATACCACGGGACCAACTTGATTGAAGATGTCTTTAAGTTTTTCTTCAGTTGCTTCATATGGAATGTTACCCACTGAAAATAACAAGATATAGAGTTTTCCTACATTTAAAATTCAAATAATGTAGTATAAGCAAAAATTAAATTGGTACATACAAATGTGATTTGTTCCCAATAAACAATTTCAACATCTCAATTAGTTTCAATTTACACCTATTTCATGAATTGTGAAACAAAATACACTAAATTAATTATGTACACCAGACATGTACATAGGGTTAAAACATTTGATTGCGGTAGAGATTGTATAACATCATGTTTATTAATGATCAAGTTTTAGCAACATTGGACAAAGTATGGTGAATTCACAACTTTTTGCCTTATAAAACTTACCAAAAACAGAGCGGAGACTCTTCTCCACAACCACACTTGTCTCGCTCATGATTGCAAAAAGCTACTTGTCTCCTGTGACACAAATATTCTAATCTATGCTGTGAATGAAAATAAAATAATGTTAACAGAAAGGGTGTCATGAGCATGTTTCAGCACAAACGGTACTTTGATTGGCTAGAAATTAATGTACAGATAAGTTATTAAACAAAAATAACATATGTTTCATTTAATTAGAATTTTACTTTACTTTTAGTGGCATTAGATATCGGTACATATGTCAACAATGAAGCAGTAGGTATTATTTCAGAAGTATGAAAGTTTGAGCATTTCAGTTTTACTTGTGTCAACATTTAAACATAGTTGGGTAGAAGCTTATCTCAAGAACCTTTAAAATAGGTTCCTTGGATATTCCTCTGAGGTTAAATTTGACTTCGAAGTTTCAGAGCATGCATTACTGGTCGATGAAATATTAACTTATGGCAACTTTTCACAAACCTGGTGATCAAGATATCCAGAATTGGCTCCCAATACCTCACATTTAAACTAATTGCCATAGAAAAAGATAACAGTTCCAAATTCCAACATAAGTAAAAGAGTCATGGTCAGACTGGAATAAATATCTGCCAGTCTTGCCAGGGCACAGCATGTGTTTGGCAAAAATTGTGCCATGAACTGAGTTTAGGATAATGTACAAGTGGCACAAACTAATATACCTATAGAGTGTGTGAGGTTCAAAATTGTATACTTTTGGCAAATTTTTCATTTCTGCCAATTAACTACCTATTAAAATAGGTACCTATAAGTCTTCCTATGTAAACACCTAAACATAAAAAGAACAAGGTAAAAGTAGAATGCAAGTCCTGGGTGGACAGCTTGAAAGGCTGAGTGACAGCAGTACCAGTACTCTTGATGTCTTTCATTGTTGTTGTTGTTGTGGTTTCCCGGTCTCATTTTTACAAGAGACCCCCTTTCTTTCATTGAAAGATGTAAAGCAGCAAATGAACCCATTTAATGATTGTTCTTGCCAGCGTTTTTTTATTTCTGCCTAATATTCCAGATTGGCTGTATCTTGTTTTGAGTGGCAGCTTATAATTAAAAACCTGCTTCAGGGTATCCATATTTCATGGTTAAATAGTAACATATCCAATATCAATTTAAATTTTAAATCTCAATGTAAGAAGCCTCCAAGTGCAAGGCATGGTGGCAAACACTTTTTCAAGATACAATTCAGCATAGGTAGTACGGTACTATATTAATAGCGCCTGTAGATCTAAGACTGTCAAAATGTCAATATTGACACAATATCCAGTAACTAGGGCCTAGGCTTTCCTCATAGAAGTCAAGCAATAGTTTAGAACTGAACTAGAAATAAAGCTTGATAAGTATATGAACCATCATTCTCAAAATTCTACCCATAGCCCCCAAGCCCCCCAAGTTTTGGAAATATTGGTCCAATGTTTAAATTTGTTTGGTTATGAATACTATGTCAGAATAGTTTATTTTTAATTTCATTATTTGCTCAAGATTTGAACCAATATTTTATGTATGTTGTATGATAATGCAGGTCTCCATAATAGTACTCTACTGGCCTACTTACACTATGGGGCTCAAAAATGAACTTGTGGGAGCATCTAAAACAAGTCTCTTCTTTGCTACTAGGTACTACTATGAATTACTGACAGCCTGAAAGGTAATAATAAATTTTTAATAAACCCATGACATCAAGCTTGGAATTTTAGGCAGATTTTTCCCAAAATTGTGTGTGAAAATAGGCTTTTCATGGGTCAACTGTGAGAAAATTGCAGGTGAATTTTCTGTTTTTCTAAGGGGTTTCCAAAATTAAGTGTTTACAGGCATTGGGCAATTCTTATACATGAAACTGTAGCTGTAGTTCTCACAGAAGCTGTATTTCTCATATGTCCAAATAGCTACCTAGTTGTTTAGCTCATAGTTAGTAGCAATCCAACACAGTGTGGAATTCTAGAGGGATATTAAATTAACCAGTACACATAGCATATTGGAAAGCAGGACCTGAAAGGTTGGAAAGTCCAGGAACTTTCCACTTCCAGTCCATTTTATTATATACATTATACATATCCTATCACTTTTCAACTGTGATTGGTTAATGGAGTTGTAATGTTATCTGCTTTCTAGCTGTGATTGGTTGCTGGGGATGCTTTCAAGCTGTGATTGCTTGATGGGGATGCTTTCCAGCTGTGATTGGTTGTGCCCATAAGCCCCGCCCCCAAATATGGTATATGTACTACAGTACTGGTTAACTGAATACTTAACTTAAACTTGATCATTACAAACAAAAAGCCTGGAAAAATTTCAAAAAATCCATTAAATAAAAGAAAAATAGAGAATATCTATCAAACAAGAGACATTCAAACAATTTTATAACAAATCTGAGGTACTATACAACTGAAACAGTTTGTCCACTTTTGATCCTCCTTTTCATTTATAGTCAGTCACCTGGCAGAGCACTGTATCTAAGGAAAGCATTCCATTTTGGGTGGAAAGCTTTTTTATAAGTGAACCTCCATTTCTAGAATTCCACCCTGATCCACCACAGTCCTCACAATCCCAATCTGGAATATCAGTCAGAATTTTCCAAAAAATTTTGAGAAAATGAGTTTTTGTTCACAGCCAGAGTATAAAAATTGGCAGAATCCACCTGTGTGTTGGACAAAAATGCCTGTAAATTGTGCTAATTTCACCCAACCATAATTTTCTTATTTTCCTGTGGCCTTTGTACACTTTTTTCCATGTTGAACAAGTAAAATGGCCTTTTTTAACCAGGGATTTCTTTAAATCTTCTGTTAAACAAATCAAACAATTGTTCCTGCCAGTGATTTTAGGAAACATCTGCCCAATCTTCCACAAACTGAGTTTCTTGGGCAATTCTTTTAAAATAAAAAAATTAAATGGCATAGGAATATTATTTTTTGCAAATAGATTAATCATGAAAGACCATAGAATTATAGAAACCAGTGAAGTTATTTGGATTCATGGGCAAACACTGAATTGGGCATTTTTGTGTAACTCACGGCTGTCGCCGTGTTACGGGCCTTACGGCCCTTACGGGTGGGGTGGATACTGGATTCTGCCCGTGCCCAGTAGTGAGTTGCCAAACTCAGACTCAGGTATGAGTATGACTACAATCAATCAATCATATAATCATATTATTCATATGATGAGCAACAATAGAAGTATAACAATGAATTTTGATAAAAATATAATGATGTAATTATGTAAATTCAATTTATTTGCCAGGACTTGGCCTCTTAGGAGTTAGGAGAACTTTTTTCCTCAACCCTAGGACCTAGGCTACACTAGAAGTCTAGAATTACTTGATCATAAATGATGCATTGCTCAGCCTAGAGCCTCCTGGGCTCCTCACTCCTGCCTCTGACTCTGAGCCTTACATAATCAATTTCTGCAGAAGAGCAAATTCTGTTTCATCTGCATCACATCATCAGGAATGAGAATCAGCATCAGCCCACTTACTATTAATTTTATTTACGCAATAACTAGAGTAGGTATCTAAAAATAGTTTCAACCTACTCTTTTAATTAGCATTAGCAGGTTGAGACTTGAATCGTGACTCTTGAGGTTGAGGTAGCAGCGTAGCGCTGGTGGGCGGCAGTGGCCTGTCAGGCTGTCACTGTCAGGCTGTCAGCTGTCCCTGCTTCAGGCTGCTTGAATTAGTTGAATAGACTAGGTACTTACTTAAACAAAATTTTTGCTAGTTTTCAACTTCAACTCATTACTAAGAAGAAGTAAGAAGGCTAGCCGCTAGCCTAATCACTAGGTACCTTACTACCTGCTAGGCTGCTACACTGGCTACACAGCTGCTTCACCTGCTTCACGTTCACAGCACTTAGGCCTACAGTCCTACTGGCTACACCACTATCTACCTAGTTTCTAGTCTCCAAGGAAAAAGAAAGTCCACCATGACAGCTATAAATAAACTGATTAATTTATTTCGGTAGAATATTATAATGTCAAAAAATATTAAGGACAGTCACAGCAGTTGCAACTTGCCCGGTTTAGGGTTTGAATCAGTCAGCACTTGACACAAGCCAGCCAGGCCGTAGGTCCAGTATCTGTACCTGGCTGAGGTAGCCAGCCTAGCCAGGTAGGTATAACCTGAATCATGCACAGTATGAGACAGTAAGTACCTTAAGAAAAAGGATTACTAATATTAGGGAAAACTTTGTAACAACAATTCACACGTTTCGATTGCGAGCTCTCTAACGTCGGGCAGCACTCGGGCTGACGCGTCTCTAAAGCCCCGTCCACACGTTCAAACTTATCGTCAGTCTTGCACGTCAATGTCATGATAGTTGGCCGACAAGACGGAGCGTGTGGACGCTCAAAGTTTGACGTCTTGCATGACGGGTGGGCGGAGCTTGAAGTTTGACAAACCTGGAAAAGACGGACGGGCGAGACCTTTGGGTTCATGCAAGACTGACGATAAGTTTGAGCGTGTGGACGGGCAACCGACTAGTTGGTCAAACTTCTACTTTATCTCAGTCGGGACGCAGTATAGACCCCTGCATCTCAGTCTATATTGATGAAGAGAGCTGTGACCTTGTTCCTCGCTAGCTCTAGTTTTTCATATTCCAGGATATCCGACATTGATTTCACGATTTCTTTTGGTGAGTTTATCGAGTTATATCGTAGTTTCCAATGCATGTTTATGGTAAATTTAATCAAAAAGCTACAGTGACAAGAACAAGAGAGCACTGGCCTGTCCGCCCCTGTGCGTGTGCGGAATTGATCGCTAAGTGTAAAGAAGTTGATCATACAGCAAACAAATACTTTGTTAGTTTGTAACGAAGAAAATAAACTCTTTATCGAAAGAATGTGCCAAAATGAAGTCGTCAATGCTGTCTGGTGATGGTAGGGATGCTGTCTATCAACTCTCATTGTGGTAGCTATTTTTTTTAACAATTTTCGGGACCACCGCGTACGTTTGCATCGCTTTAACACGTTTCCTGCGACGGCTATTTTGCTGCTATGCACGACACCTGCGATGTGACCCACCGGTGGGTCCCAGTCTTCTTTCCATTGTTGCGATGTGACCCACCGGTGGGTCCCATCGTCGCAACAGGAGAATAGCATCGATATTGGCCGTCGCCGTACACGTAACACAGTGGTGACCCACCGGTGGGTCACATCGCAGGAAACGTGTTAACCTAATTATGGTGGCACAAACTGCGCTCACTGCAGCAAGCAGCACTAGCTCCTCCATTGCCGCGAACGCACTAAAAACTGAATGAAAGTTTGAGCGTGTGGACGCTCTTCAGTCTTCCGTCAAAATCGCTCAAACCTGGCATGACATGCAAGACTGACGATAAGACGATAAGTTTGAACGTGTGGACGGGGCTTAAAAGGCTATTCCATTTTCTGAGCATTCGAACGATCCATTTTTTTTAAGAGAGAGAGAGAGTCGGCTGCGGTCATCGAGTGAACATCTCCTAGTGTCTTTTGCCCATGATTGCCTAAAGTCAACCGGCAAAAAATCATTTATAAATCATGTTCAACTTGATCTTGGACTATACTTCTATATATACCTCGAGTATATTTAGCGAGGGTTCCGTCCATAGTCAAGAATACGGCTGGCAGCTCGCTTTCCTGTACCTCCCCCTCCCTCCTCGTCACACTATGAGGACAGAGAAGAGGCAGTTGTTGAGTAGGACGTAGGTTGTAGTCACTTGTAGCCTTGTAGGTAGGAGTACGAGTAAGTTTGTGGCAAATTGTGGGCCAGCCAAGGTTTAAATTTAGGCACGGTAGTGAAAATCCCATCATTTTAGTTCACTATCATTTCCATATTGAGGGCCTGAGGCTATATTATTTTTCTTGAAGCCCTGGGCCAGTACCAAATCATTAAATAACTTGACAACTGTCAATGTTGTTATTTTTCTTTGTTGTTTTTCCTCCATTGGCATTCACCTTTACATATACTGTGAAGTCTGAACTGTGTCAACTTTGTGTTCCAAGTCCTATCACTATCAGTCACTGTATTGGTTAAAATTCCTGCATAGTTTTGTGGTTTGGATAAGTATATCTAGAATATTCGCTATCAATATTAAAACTTTTGACTTTATTTTTGCTGTAACTATTTCCTTTCTGTATTTGCTGTGTAAATTTGTTATATTTTTATTAGCCTATATTCCATCTATATAAACATTTGGAATAAACTATAAAAAATAATTTTTTTCTTTAACTATTTGCTCTATTGTATTTATTTTTTATATTAGCATATACCGTAAAATGGGGTAACTTTGACCACTTTTTTATTTCGAAACAATGCCATTTTTTTACTAGATAAGTTAAACTTAGATTGAAACGTGCAAAATACAGGTCTATACAGCAATCCCTTGATTAATCATTTAATGCGGTTAATAAATCCCCGAGTTTTACCGTGTTAAGCAAAACCGCGCTAATCAAACTTAAGAATATATGGGAATAATTATAATGAATCCTCAAAAATAGCTATGTTATATAATAATTTTTTTTTCCACTAAAATTCATCATATTTTACTTAGTTAAATTCATCATTCAAGCTTAGTCTCCAAAGTGATATTTTTACGTTTAAGCGTTCCCTTTTTGTCCATAATTATGATGGTAATTTATTAAGGAAAATTATGTAGTTTGATAAAAGTGAGCAGTATATATGGCAGCAATCTTGGGTATTATTGCAGATTAAGTACATCCAAAAAAAAGGGTGTTTTTTTTTTAATTATATGTTTTTTGGGGTGTAGATTACGAATCTGAAATCCGTTTTTGGCGGTCGGCATCGGAAATTTTTAATGGAACCTGTTCCTAACTGGACCTAACCTGCGAGGTTTTCGTTGATCGGCTAGGTTTTTTCTATGTTAGGAGTCCGTCCATGTGTATAAGAGACAGAGCTTAAGCTGTATGGTAGCAGCTATTTTAATCGATCCATTTATTGTTGTCATGTGAGTTAACTGTAGTTGCTATTAAATTAAGNGGAGTTATTTTACCAAAAAATAAAAAAATTTGAGGGGATACTCCGACAGGCTTTAAATAATAGCTCTTTTTCGTGGGTCACATTATTAATTTTTTAACCTATTAGATATGCAAACTTTTAAAATCTTTCTATTGTGTTACGTAGCCTCAGTATTTGGCCTTTGATGGCCATTGACAAAATTTTTCTATGTCAAATCGTTTTTGAGTTTTGAGGGTTTTTGTTAAAAAAAACGAAAAGTGGTCAAAGTTACCCCGCTGGTCAAAGTAACCCCATTTTACGGTACCTAATTTAACTATCAAGTATTATGCTGAGTTCTATGAGCAATGGCCCTTGATTTCTAATATTTTTTCATGTTATGTGTAACTTTTCTCTTACACCCTGTCATGCCCAACCATCACGTCCACTGACCTTTTATAAGCAAGAATAAAGTGGTCTGACTAATGCCGAGAGGTCCAAAACTGCACAAGCTTTCAGGACCAATGGTCATCCTTGTGGTTGTCCTGTGGCTTCAAGTTCACCCAGCGTGGACATCCTGAAAAGACGAAGAAGAACAATCCATTTTGTCTATTACACTTTAGTGGTGCGAGTTAAGGCAATTATACACAGAGCTAGCATTAGCTGCAACTGCGAGTATGCATTGCAAAATTTCACACTCTCAGTTTTGCCTTGCTGAAAGCTTATACATGAGGAAAGTATGCGGTAAATTGTATTTTTACAACACTTCTCTTTAACTTCACTTCTTGTCTGTCTGTCTGTCTGCTACAAATCTTGTAATCAAAATTTAATACACTTCTACTTATCCTTATATATATTTAAAAAATTGAAAAGGTAATTTTTTTAATTTTTGAAAATTAGATGAGAAATTCATTGTACATCTGTAAGATTGGAGATACTGGATTCTTTGGAAGTGTTGTCTTTAAAAAGTAGTTTTTAAACGTATATTATTGCATCTGCAACTGCTGGTGCGTTGTTGGAGCCATTGACAAACTTTTGCATGTGGTGGAATATGGAACTTAATGGTAATGTTGAGTTTGAGGAGATGCTTGATGAAATAGTTGGTGGCAAATAGTTGCTACTCTTGCTGAAATGCTGTGGAGGTGAAAATATCTGTGGATCATAGACTCTGGGTGAGAGACCTAATTTGGTCTCATTTAAGTTTCAAAACACTCCTTTCTCAATTAGTTTTTGTTATAATGTTAATCATTATGTACATTCCACAGTAGATTGTACTTTTGCCTTTTGCAAAGCAGTTTTTTAGACCCACTCTCAAATTCATTTTTGAGTCATATTAGTAGACCAGTAAAGTATCATGGATACCAGCATTATCATACATAAGATTCTAAGAAATTGGTTGAAATCTTGAGTAGGTGAGGAAAATATAAATGAACCGATTCAGAAAAACCTCTGGGCTCTGGTTTATCACTATGCTTTTGGAATATCTATAAGAACAGTTTAAAATTGTCTGAACACCTCTTGACCTTAGAATCATTTTCATTAAGAACTTGAGACAAGACATACTAGTTGGTACTTTGCAACATTAGAAATGCTTGCTCCAAGCAGGATTATTATACAGGGTGGGAAAAAAAGCAGATTTTTCAGAAACCAGTTCATTTTTTAATAAATAATCATCTATTTCAATATTTAACTATAATAATGTTGGTGTCCATGATACCTAGCAGTCTACTTATAAAATTTCAGAAAGAACTCTATGAAGATTGACAACAATTCTCCTGTTGGCCATGGTGCACACTACGGCTGCAGCAGCTCTACTGATAATCCTTGGCAGCAAATTAACAATCTGAAGTGCAAAAGATGCAATAGCATCAGCTACTTGCATGATCTGAGGAATAAATCATCACAATATTTGGAGTGCAAAAACTTACTACTGCAAATACTTGCTACCAATATTAGCCCTGCCATGTATAAAACAGTTCTCTCTTGTAGATTATGCCAACAGCATAGTGCCAAAGGAGAACATTTTTTGGTGCTCTTCCTCATAGTGGCCAATGGCAACTATGTAACCAGGTTTTTTAGAATTGGTTAATTTTGAATTTTCTTATTTCTTCAAGATTTAAATCAATATCTTTTATATGATGATGCTGGTATACATGATACTTAACTGGTCTTCTTATAGGTCTCAAAATTAAACTTGAGAGAGTCTAAAACCTCCCTGCTTTTCTACTATGCCCGTCCTCAAGATCATGATTGAGTCCTATAAGTAGACCAGTAAGTATCAAGGATACCAACATTATCAAACATAAGAAATTGATTAAAATGTTAACTGTTGAGTAGATTGGGGATTAAAAATGAACTGATTCTGAAAAGTCTACAGCTTGTCACTATGACCATCAGGTTCAATAGTAGACAATCATTACATTCTAGGCTATTCTCTCTTGTATATGGTGGTGTAGAGCTTTTAATATTTGAAACAAGATACCGGTACTGTAATGGGCTGGTTACTGATGGCAGGCTAAGTCTGCATTGGTGGCTTTTGGAAATAAGCCCGCATTTGTGACCTTACAGAAATATGCCAGGCACTCCATTCAGGGCTGATTCATGCACAAAATTGGTGGTGCATGGCTGTGCTCCTGCCTGAGTGTTGGCTCAGATGCTCAGTAATAGCGGTGCCAGCAGAGTAGCTGCTGTCTGCTGAAGACTACAAAATGGTAAAGAATCAACTGATTTGACTCGGGAGCTCTGAGTACATGAACAAAATACAAAGCTAATTATTGACATGTATCATCACTATTTTCTACTCACCTTTTTTTAATAAAAATTATATGTGTGTAAAACCAAAGATTCCTAAGTATAAGTTCATTTTTAATTACCTCATCTACAAAATGTTTTAATCAATTTCTTATGTATGATAATGCTGGCATCCAAGATACTTACTAATCTACTTGCAGGACTCAAAAATGAATGAAGGGCAATAAAAAATATTCTCCTTGGCCACTATGTAAATAGTATATTTCTTATAGATGGAATTTGAATAGCAATTTAAGAAAGTTTTGATTGTTGTTCCTTTTTGATACAAAAAATTGCAAAAAATTGCTTCTCTTTGTTAATTTGATTGTTATTATCTTATTTCAGAATTCTTTAATTGCAACATCATAACTATGTTGTGTGGGTTAACATGTGCAAGAGTATTCTGCAAATCAAAAATATTTCTGAATCATGGTAAGTCTTCACCTAATTGTGTGCTTGCACAAATTTAAGCGAGAAAACTAAAATTAATTGATTGGCTATTTGAGGCAGATTCAATAAAAAGAAAACAATTTGAAACGATTCTACTTCATAATCTGAGGTAGGTTGTCAATACAACTTTCTATTCAATTGTTTAAATGCATCACGATTCCATTCAGTCTTACACTGATGATGATTTATATGTATATTTAATGATCCAAATGCCTGGATTTGTGTACCAATAGAGTAGGCTTTTTAAATTGAATGGAAAAAATATCGTCACAAATGTTCTTCAACTATGACTATGATAACTGTCCATCTGAATTCAAGAGGAGCTTTTGTAATCAGATATTAGTATGTTGCAAGAATTTGATGCAATACAATTCATAACATTTTATATTATACAAGCTATACCTGCTTCAGGATGTGTAGTTTCATATAATGTAAATTGTATAATAATATCATATGTTACTGTATTGTATATTTTTTTGTAACAAAAATTTTTTTCACAATGTCTCATGTAATAGACTACCATACTTATTTTAAAGTTATTTTCATGAATATGCCCTGAATAAAATTATCTATTATGATTAACAAATAATTATCTTGAGAAAGAACAGATTTAAATACAAAAATATATAATTTCATGATTTTATTCCAGGAGGAGTGGCAAATAAAACCCTTGCTGTGGCTTTCCCAAGCAACAATACAAGGAGAAACTTCTCTTCACTACCATATGGCAATTACGAAAGTATCAAAGTTGATGCTGCTGCAGATTATGTAGCAAAAGTTCAACTCTCCAGACCCAAGAAATATAATGCTATGGACAAAACCATGTGGCATGAAATACAAGATGTGTTTTCAAAGCTCGACTCTGATCCAGAATGTCGAAGTGTGGTTTTGTGTGGGCATGAAAATTTTTTCACATCAGGTTGGTCTCGATGTTTCATTGAACTGCAACATCAAAGTTTTTTGTTAGTATAAATTGTTATGTGTGAACAGTTTTTTTAGATATGGAATTATAACATTTTTATCAACAAACTGATTATTTTGGAAAAATGTGCTAATTGTATTATGCTTTCTACTTGTACCCATCCTTGTATGATGAATAAATAATATTTTATACAATTCAATGTTTTTAATGAAATGCAAAATAAGTTGGCTCTTTTTTCACACCGATGAATGTTCTTTGCAATGATGTTGTATTGAATTACACATAACATTGCATGGAAGTCTTGCCTAATTAAAACTATCTATCATCAGGTATTGATTTGTCTGAGCTGGTAGAGATGGGTCAAATTACAATGGGGGATGGAGATATCGCCAGGAAGTGCTTTGCTCTCAAGAAAACAATTGCTACCTTCCAAGACTCATTCACAGCAATGGAGAAGGTAGTTGGAGGGATTTATGAGTCTCAAACTCATCATAATTTTACTTTTCTAGTTTGCACTCTACAGAATTGATATAATGTTTTCCTTGGAACAATGTACAGTGGAGATGTGAAATTGGTGTGAATTTATTGTGAAATTTTTAATTCAATCTGAATAATTATGTACTGTATGAATACCGTACATGACAAATTTGTTATCACATTCGTATCTTCAATGCATATAATTCTGTATACTATACAGTGTCGGAAGCCAATCGTGTGTGCTGTGAGCGGCCTGTGCGTTGGTGCTGGTGTTGATATGCTGGCTGCAACTGACATCCGCTATTGCTCTACCGGTGCCTGGTTCCAGGTTAAGGAAGTTGAAGTAGGTGAGAGCTCATGGCTAAGTATAATTTTAATTGTTTTTTTATGGAGTTTCCATGTTTGTCTTTTTCAAGTTTTTATGATAATCTGTGTAACGAGTAAATTTAACAACGAATTCATCTGAATTTATTTAGTGGAGTATAACAATTGTTGGATCTTTGATTTCATTTTTTAACTGTTTTATGCAATTTTTTGTGATCTTTCACTCCATCAATGTTCACAAGCCACTTGCCACTTCATCAGGCCTTGCAGCTGACGTGGGCACACTTCAGCGTTTACCAAAAATCATTGGCAGCCAGAGCTTGGTGTACGACCTGTGCTTGACATGTCGAAAGCTGCCTGCCCAGGAGGCGCTCTCGTGCGGCCTGGTGTCGCGTCTGCTGCCCTGCCACGACACGCTCATGGCCACCGCCATCGCCACCGCCAAGATCATCGCCAGCCACAGCCCCGTTGCTGTTCAGGCCACCAAGCTCGGCCTGGTGCATGCCAGGGATCACACGGTCGAGGAGGGACTCAAGTTCATGGTGAGTGGAACGAATTTTTATGTGCCTGTTTCCGTTGAGGTAACAGATTTCATTCTATGCTAGATTTTAAGATGGTCTGTGTTACTAATGTTACTCTAAAGTGTAGCTGAGGTTTGATCTAAGATTCGGGTTAAAGCTTCCGTTTTGAGATTTTAATATCTTTGCTGCGTGGTGTAGCTTGATGAGCTCAAAAATGCATTCATTCCAGTTCACATGTGACAAAATATTTTATTTCATTCCCTCCAGCAACTGCTGAACATGGCGCTGCTGCAGAGCGAAGACTGCGCCACTGCTGCCATGAGCCTCATGAACAAAGAAAAAGAGAAGCCTACTTTTAAAAACTTCTAGACAGTACCGGTATATATCATGATAGAAAGTTTTGCGCCTCACAGTATAGAAGATATATTTTCTTAGGAATGCTCTACCTATTTAAGTAATCTTTTACCTTTATTATCTTTCTGATTTGTCCGGTGTACTGTGGCTTATATTGAACAGAAAGTCGTTTTCGTTGTAGCCGTTTGTGGTATTATAACAGCTGAATATGTTTTCGTCACTATGTTGACTAAATACTCTAATGAGGCAGTGTTATCATACAAATGAAAACTAACAATATCTTGCTTGGTACTGCAGCCTTCTAGCCTTCTATTCTATTCGAAATTCTATTCTATTAATTCAAGAATTATTTCGATGCTTATTCTCCCTTTATTTATGTTGATATGTTTACCTTCGTTAAGTATTAAATCCACAATTGTTACAGAGTGTTTGGGAAGTAATAAGTCCTTTGATGTTTCTGACCATCTCTCCTGTAATTGACAACAAGTACCATGGATTATTTTCTGCTGGTATTTACGGCGGTGCACACAACGTTGGCCGAATGTCTTGTTAAAAAGCTCAGCTTGTGTATTCTCTAGAGCCTGTTATACATATTAATTATTCTATCGTGGTTTCTTGTGTTCGTACTGTTAAACGAAATGTTAAAAACTTTGATTAAAACCTTTCGAATAATTGCATTTTACGCCCGAAATATATATTTTTGTCTTTATAATTTTTTTGTTGGGTTATTTTCCTGAGTTAATTTTCCCCGTATTGCTTTGTTTCTCAATAGATTATTCGACTTGGAGTCCTAAAATGTTCGTTTTGTTGGAAATCCTTCATCTCACGCGAAATATACCGAGCATAATTAAATGAATAGTGAATAACGTTCGCATTATAATATCTTCAGCAGTCGTCCGTTTACAGCAGTAGTATATCATAGAAGAAAAATGCTGCTGAAACGGATGTCTCTCGAATACTGTATTTCATAATTTGATCGTAATGAACGGTTTATTGAAGTGCTACTTGAGTGATGAGCGCTGCCTTTGAACCCTGATTATCAACACCAAGCAGCCCTGAGGGCCACACCTGTTATCCACAGTATTATCAAAAATTAGATCAGTACCCGCTGAAGTGAGTGACTGAGAGCTCATTTTCTCACGTCCGTCCGTCCGTGACGGGCGGACAAGACGAGCATAATAGCGTCTTTTTTCCATTAATGAGAAAATGTGCTAATAAGCTGTGGATTGATTCAGCCGTCTATAATCGAGAATAACCATCGTTACATATGCGAGCAGTCATACGACACACCAACTATACAAGCGTGTATCCCAGGGTGTGGAAGTGTACTCACCGACTCTTACCTCGATTTGCTTTTCAACTTGCGCTCGAATGATGCCTAGCCTACAACTGTCAGCTATAGAAAGATCGGGTTCCAAAGGCCGGATCCCTTGTGAATCAAGTCACGAAAAGTTCAAGAATCGGCAACAGGCCATGGGCCTATTTCTTCAACGCCGACACTTCTATTCTATTCTACAACGCACTGTGACCTAGCTTCTAAGTTCACCCGAGATGCATAATACCCGCCTGCAATATCGGAAAACAATTTAGTTATTCGAGGTACTTATTTGTTAGAAAAAATGAATGTTTAGATGTTTTACGTTTAGCTAACAGAATATCTGGGTTGTGTTTCCATCCAGTCGTACAATTAAATTCCTACACTTATTGGGTCATTTGACCGCAGGCGTATTGCCTGGTGGTGTAGGAAATAGTTTTTAGGACGTAGTAACGCCAATCTTTTTGGTGTAAAATCCTGGGACGTTGCTGGGCCATTAGATCAACAACTTGTTGGCGGAGGACTGGTTTGTCAAATTTAGTGGCTGTACTATGCCACAGATTGCCGGCCGATGCACAATTTGTCAGTGTTTTTTTTTTTTTAGCGGTCTTTCTTTTGTATTGAGCGTTTCAATTCATGGCAATGCGGTCAAGTTACTAAATATATTGCTTTTAAAATCTATACTTCCATTCAATTGTCATTTTTGCTGAAGTCTTTCTCAGTATATAAATATTTTAGTATAGGTGTATCCAAAGGTCCTTTACTTCATATGAAAACCTTGGCTGCGGAATTCTGCGTTGCCCACGGCCGTCTTGTGGTTCACCGATCAGTCAAGCTGAGAGCGTCGTCTGCTGTGGTTATCGACAATTCATTCCTCGTAAATTTTGTGAGTGTTATTTACTTTTTGTTCAGTTTTAGGCGTTCTTGAATAATTCAACCACATAATGCTGATTTCGCATGATAAAATTCAGGGTTATAGTGAGAGCGGGGCATCATAAATTTTTTATATTGCGCAACCCGTCGGATGCGACGATTCTGGGCACGTAATTGAATTCATTGATGAAAAATTCAAATTAATCAGAATACCGGATGCATTGATGTGGAAATGTTATGACCTAATGTTCTACCGGGTGTGAAAGAGTGATAATAAAAATTTGAAATTACTACTGCATGCAGTATTTAATTTCATTACTTTTCTAATCAAATAGCTCGTCTGCACTGAACTCCTTACTGCAAAATTTTATAAAAAAAACTCTTCTTTTCGTGTTTTTTTTTTCCTGATAAGCAAATTATTTAGGTTTATAGAGGGTCAAGTATATAGCCCTACATCTTGAATTGAGTTCACTACAGGATCACGTGCAGGATGTTTTGTTGCATAGTTTCCGACCTGAGCTTATTTGTCCTCTCACGTCCGCTTAGGGTAGGATAAATGTCTGAGAGAAATAAAACATCTCGGACTCGCTTCGCGTTTGTCACCGAAAATTTCTGGTTTCCGCTAGTCTTTGGTAAGAGGTACAAAATATTTTCTTTGAATACTGGGCTGTTTATTCAACATTTAAATTCAAAATTGTCAAGTTCGTTGTTATTTATTTGTGTATTTTTTGTCCATGAGTATAAACATGGACTAAGTGCATGCAGCAATATGTATACTCTTTAAAGAGCCTTTCAAATTTATCATAGCCTGGAGATTAGGTCTGATCATGTCGTTAGTCTTTGTCTTTTCAAAGTGTCATAGAGCCACGATTCTTCATTCGGTAGTCTCCATATTGAAAATAATAAATTTAAATAACCGCAATATGATAAATAGTTATGATATGATTATAATTGGTACCACACATGGTGATTCAATAATAATCCTCATCAGAATAATCGTATTTATAAATACATGTGAAAAATAATAATCGTCTCCACATCATACGTACTCCACTCATGCGTAAAACATTATAAACGATGTACCACTTCCTGTCGTGAAACCTGTAATTACGATTCCATTGCCCGATTTACGACGAACGACAGAATTTCAGAGAATACAATCGGGTATTTTCGACCAGAAGCAGCGGTGCACGCTAATATACAAGGCCAGAAAAAGAGCGGGCGATGCCGATGCCCTCGAGCGCCTCTGATGGAAGACGCACAATAAGAAATTAAAATATCCGGTTTGGCTTCACCAAAACGGGCCAGAAAAACCAGTTCAGTTTGACACTTATCACTATACTGCTGCTCGTCCGTATCCTCGCCTCGAAATATGATAGTGACAGCGTTGTTCCTTATGCCAATCGCGGATGGTATTGTCAAAATTCCGCAGCATGATAGTAAGTTGAACGATGATCTTGACGTACAGTAAAACTTGGACCGTTTTAACCCTTAAAAAAATAAAACCTTTTCTAAAAAAGTTCCTACCTTTAAAAAAATTGTGTTGCTGGCCCTGGAAGTACCATGTCTCGTGCTTCTTTATATCTATGTCTGCAAATAACCTACAAATCCAATAAAGCGATATATTTTATAAATTTTCTATGTGGCTATTTGTATCACAAAAAGTTGAGCGCTAAAAATGGTCCAAGTCACCCCGATTTACGGGTATGTTTTCACGCGCACTACATGCAAGTTTCTACTAAACTTGAGTAGTACTTGACTTCTTGCTCGAAACTACGTTTTCAATCAGAACTGCCACCGTCAACTGCATGCTTCATATAACCAGAATTATGGATATCGTTTAACCTTGACATCAATCGGGAAAACTCGTTACTTAATGTTACTCATTCCGAGTCGAATAACAATGAACGTTCTCTTATTACCCAAATAATACACATCATCTCAACCCTACAGTTTCAGACTCTAACTTGCAGTTAATACAATTGCTTACGTAACTTTAATTATTATTATTATTATTATTATTATTTGTTTTCGCGTAAATTTGTTTCATACAATGTGTGATCCAGCGTTGGAACTTGCTGAATTTGCGCAAAGCTTTTTGCCACGTAATCGCTCCTACACCAGCGTGATGAGACCACGCTTTATCTCTTTATTTATATTCAAATCATTTACAGAGGTTGAATTGCCGCTCAGAATACTGTGCTTCCAAACTTGTTCCATCGCGATTTTGCTTCTGTTTTATGATATAAAAAAATCCACTAAAAAGATCTCGAGGTCAAGCCATGGTTGGCGCAGTTAGTACTGGACATCCGGAGACAGACTGCAGTAGCCCTAATGCTTGGTGACCACCAGGATTATACTTACTACATACCTTCATACCTACTTCATACCTGCTTCATGCCTTCATAGTTACTACATATCTCCAAACCTACTTCAGATCTTCATACATAATTCATACCTTTATACCTACTTCATGCCTTGAGCCTTTTCCATATGGGCTTCAAGTTAATTATGCAGTGTGTAGAAAATATATTTTTTTAAAGGATACAGCTGCGCTCCTAGTGTGCCATTTTTACGGTTTAGTAAATTACGACTTAGTTTCCCCATCACAAAAGAAACTTATGTCGTTTACTATATGCTTTAGCATGTTTTTATAATATTTTACTGTGTCTTAAATCTACTATTTAATTTCTTGTCTATTGTGACTTTGAATAATTGAGTTTTATCGTTATAATTATTATGAGATTTTTGTGACTAGTGAATGCTCAAGTTTGCCTCGAAACTGTTTCCCGCGGTTATTAGATAGTTTATGATAGTATCACGTGTTACTACGATGTAATTTAATACATTTTAATTAATTAATCGAAGTTAATAGATTCCATTGTAACTGAGAGCTTTTGTTTATACATAATTTCATTCACAGCATCAAGAAGTAACGCCATGGCCGTGACTGCCTCCGCCATCTTGCTCCTGCTGGGGGTGATGGCCTCCTCCGCCGCCCCACAGCAGCCGTCCATCGAGGTTTGTCCTAACAATTAAACACAATTTTTTAAAGTATTAGTGTGATAAAAGTTGTAAGTTGGTAGAATAATCTATAGTGGTTCATAGATAGAAATTTTATTTAAACTAAGATTGCATAGGAGTTGGTGGAAGCTATTTTTAGGAATAAACCTTTATTTGGCTAGTCATCGCCCCTCAGAGGGGACTTCTGACGCGTGTCTGTGCGCGTCAGAAGTCCTGTGGGATTTCGCGTTCCTAGGGGGATTGTTCCTGAGCGCCCCACCGCTGAGTCTGCGGTGTCTGACTGTAGGTCTCAGTTGTGGGGTTAAGTTATTATGTAGGTAGGATTCCTTACATTTCCCTTCTCTGTCTCTCTCGTGCGGGCGACCGACGTCCCGTGTAAGCGACCTCTTGTTCGAATGTCTTAGTTTTTGTTACTTTTCACCTGTCCCTCCTTGTCACTTCGTCTCTTTGAGATGCTAACGCTGCTTCTTTCGAGCCAGTTTCAGCGGGCTGGACATCTGAGACCTTCCACCCCTTGTGGGTGATGACCTATTTTTGATTTGAGAAATTTTTGATAATTGAGACCTTCCACCTCTTTGGTGATGTTTAACATGAATTTCGGTGCGAGATAGCTAAATAGCTGAAGCGCTGGTAAACATGTGGCCACTAAACTAACTAACAACTGGCTAGTCATCGAATAGGATGCCTGCTGCGAAATTCACATACGTACTTTTAACAACGCATTAGATCTAAAACGCTCGAAGATCAGCGAGTTCAAATATATTGAGTTCAAGGCACAGGCATTCAGTGTCTGTTGGTGCAATAAAATATATTCTACAAAGCTGAGCAGCCACCGAAATTGCGAATCGATAGCTTTTCAACTAGATTAGAAATTTATAGTCTAATAGTCACTACTTGGCTAATAAGCTATGGAGAAAGCTTGTTTACCAAAATAGATGTTTAACCATTTTAATTCATAAGAAAACTCTATTGCAATTTATTGGATTAGGCTAGGATCATATATATTACAATTCTTTCTTCGTTTCTTATGATAGTAAAGTTTCCCGGACCATCTTCTGTTATCACATTCCTGACAGAAATAGAGTTGACAGAAGAAAAGGAGTGCGCGTATGGACTGTGACAGGAAATATCCTTTTTGCAGCAACTGCAGCAGATTTTCCAGCAAGTAGTGCAGGGGCAAGGAACTGGAGCAGGACAAGGAGGAATTCAACCCGCCACGCCAGGCGGACAGTTCGGAAATCCAGGCTTTGGGCAAGGAGGCGGTTTCCAGAACCAGCAAGGAGTACCTGGACAAACAGGAAACTTGAATCAGGGTTTTGGATCAGCTGGGTTTGGCCAACAAGGCACTCAAGGGTTCAATCAAGGGAGCTTCCCTGGTGGGCAGTTTGGCGGTCGACCGAATCGACCAGGGAATCAAGGACGACCGGTCAACCAAGGTTTTGGAGGAGGATTTGGAAATCAAGGTTTTGGAGGAATACCAGGAAACCAGGGTTTCGGAAATTCGGGTCTAGGCGATGCAGCAGGTCAAAGTGGCTGCAAATTCTTCTGCAGGAATTCGGTCACTCGCCAGTACGAACCATGTTGTTGATAATGCATTGCTGTGTGGCGGTTGAAACTCCTTAAAATTTCCTAGTGCTTGTTGATATCTATGTTTCTGCAAATAATCTGTTCTGGATTTATATTATTACGCGAACAGTTATTGAATAATTCGATCCTTAATAAATAGGATTAGTATTCTTCATCCGAAACATAAAAATCACTTTTCTCTTGGAATCGTTTTTCTCAGGAAACTAATTTTACATGAAGAACATTGTTTTTCATGTGTCTAGCAGGCAATATCAATTGCTGCTGGAATAATCGCGTCAATCATGGGTGCAGGTGAAGATTGGATGGTCTTCAGGCACTTCAGTTTTTTCTTTACAAATGTGATCAGTCCTTACCTGTATATACCTGTATAGTTTTGATTGTAAATAGTCCAGTACTTTAGCCTGACACGTTGTACTGCAAGTCTCTATTCATCTTTAATTAAGAATTTGTATATGCTTTCCAATAGTTCAAATCGATATTTTATCGCAATAAAATAGAAAAAAAAATATTCTAGTATAACTATCCTCCGAATTAAATTGTTGTAAGATTCGGGTGCTGAAGGAGTCTTGGGAAATAATGTCTATCTCAATTATGATGAAATAGACTATAGGTTGCATCAAACTTATTCTTCGCGTGTAATGCATCATTCTATCTGGAAACATGTCGAAAATATATGGATTTAACGCTAGTATTTGTTCGTTTTTCCAGCAACTACAGCAGCTGTTTCAGCAGTTTGGCGGTCAGCCCGGTGGTGGACTCCCACCTAGTGGAACAAGCTCGTCTCGGCCTCAAATTCCAGTTGCCGGTGGAGGCCAATCACAATTTCCATCTCGACCACAGAGTCCGGGTACAGGAGGAGGTCAGTTCACTACGGGAGGTCTACAACCAGGAACCGGCTCGCAATTTCCCGGAGTTGGGGGGTCTCAGTTCCAAGGACAGCCTTCATTTCCTGGATTTGCTGGGCAAGGTAACCGGCCCGGAAGGCCTGGAAGACCCGGTCAGCTACCTGGATCAGCAGGCCAGTTCCCTGGATCAGCTGGACAGTTCGGATCAGCAGGCCAATTTCCAGGATCGGCAGGACAATTTCCCGGATCTGCAGGCCAATTTCCCGGATCAGCAGGCCAATTCCCAGGATCTACCGGCCAGTTTCCAGGATCTGCCGGCCAGTTTCCAGGATCTACCGGCCAGTTTCCAGGATCTGCCGGCCAGTTTCCAGGATCTACCGGCCAGTTTCCAGGATCTACCGGCCAGTTTCCAGGATCTGCTGGCCAGTTTCCAGGATCTACCGGCCAGTTTCCAGGATCTACCGGCCAGTTTCCAGGATCTGCTGGCCAGTTTCCAGGATCTGCCGGCCAGTTTCCAGGATCTGCCGGCCAACAATGCCGCTTCTTCTGCCGTAACCGGTTCACTAATCAGTTCGAATGCTGTTAAGTAGTTTGAAGGGATTTTTTCTGAGTAGCAGAATTGGAAATTAGCGCGTAAAATCTTTTTATTTAAGTTTATAATCAAGGGGAAGGTTGTTTCAAAATTACAACTGCATAATTAAAATATTTAAAAAAAACGAGCAATCTTTTATTGAGCTGGTAAGCATGGCGTTGAACTTTAAAAAAAATGTACATATAAATTGATTCCTTTAGCTGGTCAATGGTGGAAAAACTAATGAAATTATCACTGTCATTGGAATACGTAATTGGATTTAGAAGTTGCCTCATCGTATAGATAAATGACTGCTGAGCATTTGATTAGAATACGTATTTTACTTAATTAAAAACATTTCTGAACTCAGACACATTTATTTTTTACTTAATACAGTAACCATGCAATGACACAATCACAAAAAAAAACTAATTTTATTTTGACATGGCGCACTACCCATAGTTTAACGGAACTAATAATTCACTTTTTACATTTAACAAATCATCCAACCATGGTACAAATAACGTCAATAAAAACTCCCAAATAAAATAAATGATGGTAACATAGATACCGTACTAGTACAAAATTTTTAAATCTCTCAGGAATTCGCTGACCAGGTTTACAAAATTCAATCTATCATAAAATTGTCGTCGGCCACATGAGCAGATCGTACAAGCTGTTTCTTCGGTTCAGTAATAGTAACTTTGTTAATAATAATTTTAATGAGAATCGGAGACATAGAAAATGGTCGCCTTTCATATGTAAAAGAAAAGGTACACATTTCACGGCATATTTAATTTTGAATATTTTCTTATTCAATATTTGTGGGAAGTTTGCTTCCATTTTATTTTTGTAAGTGTGAGGCTCTTGACAGCATAATGGCTGAGTGTTGAAATTTCAAAGCCAGAATATAGTTTGATACCAGCAGCTAATTGTGACAAGTTCAGGTTCAGCAGATGAATGAAGCGGTCAGGCGGGTTATCACAGCGTGTTCGAACCCGCAGCAAGATGTAAAAATTCTGCGATGTTGTCCAATCTTCAATACCGAGAACCCTACCAATATGATTATTATTTATAAGAAATAACATAGTCTCCTTTCAACTGTCTAGATTTTCATTGACGCTAAAAAGCTATTATCAATTACGCTTAATTCGCAGTAAGAATTCCGCTGTAGTTTGATCAATGCCATTTTTTTTATTCGGTAACCTTATGTGTTGAAACGTGGTGTCATGAGTCTTGCCATGACGACGGATTAACCTGCTTACTTAGTAATCATAGTAAGTCGACACTGCGCTTAGCCCTCCACACTATCTTGAAATGATCAAAATTTTGCTAGATGATTCAGTTATTCACGAGAAGCAGAGTGTAAACTAAAAACTGGAAATTCCCGAGATATGCTGCCTTGTTGTTGTTGCGTCTATGAGTAAATCGTACCTGTCCCATAGAATACTTCGGCAATGAAATGCACATCGATTTGTGTTATTAAAGCACCACATACTAAAGCGACCCCAACTGCTCTAATCTGATCATTTTGAGTGTAGACAAATAGTAGGTATCGCCGACAAATAATACTTTATATAGAGCAAAATGGGTACAAAAAATGCACGAAAAATTGCTCATCTATTTATTTAAAATCGTTTCAGAATAAGAATCTAACTAATTATTTAAAAAAATTATAATTGTATTTTCGAGGACACAGTAAAAGCTTTAAAGAAATAGGTCGTTCATTGAGAAAGTCAAGGCTCTATACCCTTGGTATTTGTTTCGGACGTAGCAGTACCAGGCCAGGATGGATCGCCGCCTCTCTTCACGATGGATTCACGCTCTTTACCCTATCTGAAGACCACCCACAGAGCGAAATTATTCACTAAATATACCATCCTAAAATTACATCATTTAGGTTAAAAATCGTAAGAAATTTAAATAGTGAACTCTAACATATTACTTGGCTGATCTGAACCCCTGAACCAAAGTGCACTATACAAAATCTACATAATAAAGATCTCATATAAAAAACAGAGGTTTTGCAGAAAACCTATCAAGTTAATTCAATGGCTGATCTGAATTCCTGCACCGAACAACACTACGCATACAAAATATCTACGTAACAAAGATCTCATACAAAGAAAAAATAAAACAGAGGTTTTGCAGCTAACATATCAAGTTAGAAGTTAATGCATTAGCTTTAAAATAAAATGAAACCAAAACATACATTACATGCCAGCGTCTTGGCAGCAATTGTCTGCAGGTAAAGAAAGGTACACGACAGAGAAAACAATAAATGAACAAGATAAATTTTTAGATAGACGCCAACGGAATGCTTTCAAATTTTCCTCAAAAAGTATTTACAGAATTGGATGCACTTAAATATAACTATATACCACGCGTGAAACTGAAAAGATTTTCAGAGCGAGACTTGTAAACACAAAACAGGATCGCAATTACACTTTGCTTGAGTAAAGTTGCCAGCTTGTTCAACACGAGTGTTAACAACATTGGCCCACTGAACAACAGATGGCCTGAGCTCTGCCTCGAGAGGTTCTGGAACACTAAATGAAAACATTTCCTGTGAGTTATCCTCAGCAAGCGGCTCGTTTCCAGTTCGGTCTCCATGAGCTTGGTAGTGAGCAGTAAACTTGTACATCTTCAGAGGCATGCCTGACAGAGTTGTGCCGTCAGACTGAGAGTCCCACCAGTAAACTTGTGGATAGCCAAGTAAACAGCCAAAAATGGAACTCAAGTTGGCTACTTCTGGTAAATTGATAGTCAACAACTGGCAGTTGTTGTTTCCTAGAACAGTTGATTCATTTTTCTGGGGATTACTTGATGCACTAGACACAGAACCTAGAAGTTCTTGATAGTCAGAAGTACAACTACTATCCAAACCTTTACTTGGAGTTACAATTCCAAGCTGCTGTAGAATAGTGCATATGTAGCTCTTGTACAATTGATGAATGCTTAAAGCAGCAATACGAGCATCTTTCTTACTAATGTCAATCAGCCAGGAGTATTCACTACTTATATATGAAACAAGCATACGAGTTAGAGCATCAAGATTTACAATAAATAAATCATCTTCAATAACAACAACAGTTAAAGCAGTTTTAATTAGACTTTTTGACCTTAAGGCATTAAGTAGAGTTAGTAGATCCTTGGCAGAAGCAGGTGAAAAGTCCCATAAAATTGAGGGTTTGACACTTTGGTCAACAGCCATTAGAAGCAATGGAAGCTCGTCATCAAAATCATCACTCTCCTTACCAAGTGTCTGAGATAAAATCTTTCTCCATTCATTTGAATTTTCTAAACTCATTTTTGTGATGATGAATTTTTTGTTTTAGTATTTTAGAGTTAAAGTCTTAAAGCTAACTAAGGAATATACACCATAATTTGAAAGAACAGTAAATAAAAATATTGCTATTACCACATACAAACCAAAGAAATCATCTAAAATTAAGGACACACTAAATTACTGAACTAATGAAGAGTTATGAGGTGATGTTTGCCAAGTTTTATAGTACTATCTAATGGCTAATGCTTCATATTAAATATTACTAAACCTATCATTCAAAATATAGTGAGCAATGTTATATATGGTGCTAGTGATGATTAAAGTTTTAATACAATCCTGTTAATTTCATTACAAACAAATCCAGATGACAGCAGCAGCTACATTCAAAAGTAGCTCTGAAGTGGCAAGTTGCAAAGCCTACTGGTGGTGTCGTAGTGATAGGCGGCATAGGCCCGTAGTCCAATTAAGTCCAATCTGGAATTTGAAAAGAAGAGTAAGACACTAAGCAATGATATGTGTACTTATTCCTATTATTATGCATTAAACTCATTTAAAACACATTTAAGCAGTTTGATGTAGATGTCTTGACATTTGACAACAAATCAACAATCGCTACAATCTACTCACAATGGTCGATACCTACTCGATTATAACTAGGCTATGCACAAAAATTAGATTAAGTTGAAACGTTTAAATAAAAGCAGAATTTTGTATTAATCAATCGAAAGAATAAATATAGAAATACAGTGCAATGGTGTCGGAATTGAAGATTAGGCAGCTAAAGTGAGCCTAAACTTAAACTAAAGTTGCCTGTATCTGATTGACCGATTCTTGTTATCTTTGATTACAGTAACTGAGTAACATAAACAACACTAAGGCTTATCTCAAGTTAGCTGTAACATTCTGGTGGCTAGTCAGCATACATATGAACGTGCATTAACAGTCAACTATTGCCGTCATGGTTGCTAATCGCATTATTTCAACTCACTTATACATTGAGCCAAAAGAGTTGCAACAATAACAGCGAAACGAACATCTGTAATAAACAGCTTCGAAGTTTTGAACTTCGGTATCCGTGCTTGAACAATCTTCTCGAATCTCGGTATAGCTATACGATGCCATCTTGCGGAAAGCCAAGGAACTGAAAAACACACATTTATTTATGTCATCGAATATTCAAATATTTAAATCACATGATTTTATTTATTTTGAGAAAACATTGACTCGGTTAGTTTTTATTCAAACAAATTCAATATGTAAGAAAAGTATATGCGTTTGGAATAAGTAATGTTATATTAAACATTTCAAATAGAATCAATTTTGCTTAGAAATTTGATCAAACTCGTGTATTTGGTTTTACGTCTGCATAAAATAATAGCTGAATTTTGCTAGCAATACACTACAGCGGTCGTAATCGTACTCAAGTTGTCAAGAAGTCAGTCGTACGAAATCCGAATCGAAACTCTTTAGAAAGGCGAAACATATTACGCGTTGCAAATAAAATGATAGAATTTGATCCGTGAGGGACATGGGATGATGGGGCCCATGGGGGACAACTCCACATCTTCAATAAACAAATGAACAACAATAAAATGATAGAGTGCCTTACAATATTTGCGTAAATTACTATCCAAAGTATGTATGCTTCCATTTGCATCACGTTAGCCCATGGCCATGGCAAGGATGTATAGTACCGTAATGGCTATTGAGTGCGTCAATAAAACAGTCTAGTTTTAGTAAGAAGCTACGAACTACTATTCGTCGGTTCAAATTACTCAAAAACGATGATTCCGTGTTTTTAAACGTAGATTATTTTATTTCTATTGATAATTTGATGGTGATCAGAGTTCAGAGAGTCAGCGGCGTTCATGCAGTTAGCAAGTAGCAACATACTGAACATAGCTTCTTATACTTAGATTATAGATATGATTGCATTCTGTGACTGTGATTAATGAAATTGGCATTGATTTTCCTCTGAGATTAACGTAAGAATTTTCCTATGTGATTGATTAACATAATACTAAAAATACCTAGGTACCTGCAGGCTACAGTGAGCTACACATCAATCAAATTGAATTCACATCTCTTCTCAGTTCTCAGCATGGTAGCCTACTAGCAGTACTAGGTACTAGGTAGTGAGTAGTCAGTAGTGAAGCTGACCATACTCATAGTGGCAACTGGCAAACCAGAGCTTTTTTAGAATCAGTTCATTTTTAATTTCCTCATTTACTCAAGATGCCAATTTCTTGAGTATTATAATGCTGGTATGAGTGGTATCCATGATACTTTACTGGTTTACTTAAAGGACTCAAAAGAGAACTAGAGGGAGAGTCTAAAAACTCTCTGCTAAGTCTCCTTTGTCACTATGGTAGTGACAAACTCCAGGCCCAGATAGGTACCTATTTTAAAATCAGTCCATTTTTAATTTACCCAAGACTCCACTAGGTACTACCATACTACTACTCTAGTCTCCACTCTCCAGACGGTAAAGTATGGCATAATGGCACAACATAGGTGGAGGGAGGATTCCAATAGTCCAACTTCATTGCTCCAAAGATGCCAGGGTAGGATTAAGGCAGACAGCAGTTGGCACTTGGCAATTATGCTCCTCCTGGTTCTGAGGTTTTCCATAGATTGCAATCTACGAGCAATATGGCCGATGCGTGATATTTGGCCCAAATGTACATGCATCACAATAATTTACAGCTGATGCGCGATGATTGGCATGGTCATGCGGCCAATGCTGTGGGTATTACAATCATTGTGGCCTATGCACAATGATTGGCATGGAAGAATGCACATTACACTAGCAGACTAGCTGCAAATGACATACAAGCAATCAAAGCAAGTGGGAGATACATGCAATGGCGGTGTTGTTGATTGCTTTATCCACAGTTTGTGATCGATTATGGACATACATTCACTGTCTGCTGCTGCTGACAGAAGTGGCGACTGAGGTGGTTTGATGATTGAATCAAGTTAAATGCACAAATCAAGTTTGATAAAACTCAAATCTTGTTGACATTAGATATATATTTTTACACTTAATTTCAGATTGCATTACTTTGCTAAAGGAGTACTTAATAAAATGGTGAAATTTGCTGAAGCTGAGAAACGTGGTCGTGGAGGAGACACATGCACAAATTCTGGAAGCAGCGGAAGCAATACAATGAGTGGAAGTGGAACCAACAGACCTTACATGATGATTGACAAACCAAAGATAAACCGTCCTATGTTGGATGCTCTTAAAGCTCATATTATGCAGGAAAGAAGGAGAAAGCATGAAGGTGAGTAGGAATTATTTTAATAAACTTACTAATGCAAAGCTTCTAGCCAAAGATTTTGATGTAATATGTCATTGCTTTAAAATTGTTCCCTAAAAATTAGTCATTTTGTGATTACTCAAAGTAAATTTATTTTAAACATTCCATTTTAGTTAATTTAATCCTCAACTTTATTCCTCCATTTTTCAGAACAACAAGAAGTTGAAGCTGAAGAACGCCGTAGGAAGGAGCATGAGAGCCGGAAAAAGCAACACGCTATGACCCTGGAGGAAACTAAAGAGTCCATTGCCAAACAAACCCAGCAGCTGGAGGTTCTCAAGAATAAAAAACATGATCTATTCCAGCAGCTGAAAAAAGTCCTCAACAATGAAGACAAGAGGAAGGAAAGGCATGATCAGCATCCCACTTACATGAAAGAAAAGTTAGTCCAATTAACATTAATCAAATTAACTGAATCCAGAGATTAATTTCAGGCAAAATGCAATTTTCATGTCACTTTTTTAACTTAATGATTACCTAAACCTGCTCAAAACTTTTATTGCTTGTTGCTGTTCTTGTTTTAATAACTGTAGCAATGCTAATAAATGTTTCAGTCATAGTGTTTACATTGTTAAATTTATGTTTGTTTGCATTAATTATTAGTCTTGGTTGCAAAAAGTGAGATTGTTGAAAATTATTAGTCATGGTTGCAAAAAGTGAGATTGTTGAAAATTATTAGTCATGGTTGCAAAAAGTGAGATTGTTGAAGCTATATTAATTGGTGATTATTTTGTGTGCAGTGACATCATTGTGGCTCAGCAGCAACCACAGATGCCATTACCTCTTCATTCTCAAGTTGGTAGCTAGTTTCTCTGTACTTGGCCATAAATTCAAACAAATATTGCAATGATTTGTATCTATAACTTAATTGTATTTGTATCTATAAATTAATTGTTATTATTGTACCCAATCTGGCTCTTTACTTAAAAACGTGCAATTATTTCTGTATTTCTTGTGTGTTCGAAAAGAATTGGTGTCCAATGGATATTATTATGTAGAATTTGTTACACTTTCACCCCAATCCATTGCATCAATATATAAAGATATCATTACATTTCAAAATGTCCTGCTTTGAGTATATTGATATTATTAATTAATGCAGCAAGTGGTGTTCCAATCTGGTCTGCTACATGGGGGAGTTCCTCGCTCATCCATCTCGTCTCTGTACAAGCTCTCTTCCCAGTCCCCTCACCCCCTCCAGCCTTCCCAACAACAGCCTTCTGCTCAACAGTCTCAGGTGGTGTAATCTATTCAGATATTGAACAAATTCAGTTATTTAAACAAATATCCTGCTTTTTTTCTGTAGTTCTTTGCTTGGCAATCAAGGTTACAGGTTACTCCCAATCGTCCACTTCTCATATTATTGCTTGTGATACCTTGAAAATATGTGTGACAATAACAATGCTAATTATAATGTAGCCTTTGACAGTCAAGTATACATTTTTTGATAGTTATGCAAACGAGGACCATTAGTATCCAATCCTTATATAATGAAGTTTCACTTTAAGGTTTTATCTATTTGCCTATCTCTTGAGTAAATAATATCAAATATTTAATTATGGTTTGTGGTGTTCCATTTAATAATTGCCAATCAGTGAATTATCGATACTAATACATTAATTATTTAATCATACATTAATAGACATTAATTTGTTTTCATTAAATGTTCTAGTTCATTAAGAATGATGGTTCAAGAATGTGTGAGTTTGCGGTAAAAAGTACACATTACTCGCTAAACTTTTGTATTGTAAAAAGAATTTTGTAAAATTATTGTGTAGTAATTGTTGGCTGCAGCAAGTAATAATGTTTTCCCGGCAGATCAACATAAAGCGTTCACGTAGTCCGTCTCCAGTGTCATACCAGAACGCTGCACTGCCGTACTCATTCAAGAATCTCAGTGCCAACTCCACCACAGTTGTGTCCGTGTCACAGCCTGGTGCTAGTGAGTATTCTATCCTAGTACATATTGTGCAATTTTCACATAGTGGCAAGCTTTAGTTCAGGTAGCTTTATCTCTTATTGATAAATAGCAGACGAATCTGATTTTGCTTAGGCCATGTATAATATTTTGTTACTTTCAAGACTCCATCCAATAAATATTAACATAGAGTAATGCTCCAATTCTCCGACAATTAAAATAATTTAAATTTAGGGCATTTTGAATAGAAAAAATTAAGCGTTTCCAATCAAAGCTCTCAGGCCAAAGTTTTTACATGGTGATGCACAATTGTCTTTCTGGCTGTCATGATAATTCTAAAGCGCAGTCACGCTAATCAATTAAGACTTCATACAAATTCCTTAACGAAAATAACCCAAATTTATTCTACCAGTTGATAGCAGTAAATTATAACTGATTGAATATAATACAGGCAGTTCATTATGTGCTGTTCAGAAGTTGTTTGGTTATTTAAAATTAGGTGACAATGAAAAATAGAGGAATTCTAATATTTCTTTTTTGCAGAAGGAAGCGTCTACTTGTCATCCCCAGCCAGCGCCTTCTTCCATGGCCCTCCTGGTCAACCTCCCCCATCTCACCACTCACAGCCACCACACCACCACCCACCTCCACCCTCAGCTGCTCATCACCCTCAACCTCCTGCTTCACACCACCAGCCGCAGGCTCTACATCACCCAGCTTCACAAGCATCACATCACCACCCGCCCCCTGGCCAGTACAGCCTGGCGCGTGATGAGAAGCACACCGCAGTCTATGGCCTCCATGCGGCCGCCGCTGCAGCTGCTCGAGGTGAGACTGCACTAATTATTTCCGTTATTATTATAACTATGTTAATTATTGTAACTACGTTAATTATTCTTAGTACGAAGGAATACGCCGCTTGAGGTCACGGTGGTAGATGAAGTATGGTTGCATAACGTGAATAATTATTAACTCAATAAAATGTTTGGTAATTAAGGCATTGATGTGAGATAATGTTTCATTCAGTGTTTACTGTGAATTTTATTAGTCAATCCCGCTTTTGCTTGTTATAGCTTTGCCGTAATCCCATCAAATACGTTAGAATATTTTCTATGATGTAGGTATATTTTTTGCTTGAAATTTTGAGCAACGAATGATTTGTATTCTGCCCGACATTAAATTTTCTTACTGTTCAATTTAATGGATGATTATTAAATATTGAATAATTCAGTGGAATCTTACAAAATTTGCGACGTACATTGTGTTGGCTGCACTCCTGCAATTCGTCACTTTGTTATGCATAGGCAGGTTAAGAGGAGCTAATGGGTGGTCTCTGCAAGGTTTGAGATAACCTCTGAGGGGCTTGAATAACATTCTATCCAATATCACAAAAATAACATTCCATTAAATATCACATAAATAGATTCAATATCACAAAAATAACATTCTATTCAATATCACAAAAATAACATTCCATTAAATATCATAAAAATAACATTTTATTCAATATCTCAAAAGAGAAGAGTTCAGATGGTGAATCTGTCGCTGCCCGGGGGGTTCTCTGAGAATGACTGGTTATTGGGTTAAGCTGGCTTTGCCAGGGAGATTTTGTTTTTTTTTTCCTTTGTGGCTCTATGACGACAAATTGCCAGGAATTTTTTAACTGGTATAGCTTAAGGACCGCTTGTCTTCCTCTAATTTAACAGTGCAAGATAATTTAATAGTTCAATGATGCAATTTATGCGTTAAGAGCAAAGATAATGTTGTAATTTAAAGCATGATATTGTTACCCAAATAATTTAGCGAGCTTGATGCTGTCTGGCGCAGGACTGCATCCTATGGACCACAAGAAGCCTGGTGAACCTGAGAAGCTCTACAGCGGCCCTCACGGCATGCACGCACTGCCCCTGCAGCAGAGTAATGTGCGTCATGCGTCCTCATACATCCTCTTTCTTGCTTAGATTGACATAGAAAATGTAAAAATATATATTTTGTTATATAATTATTATTTATTATTTTATTATATTATAAATATAATTATTACTAACTCCTGTCGGCAATAATTGAATTTCCTCGTGTAATTTTTGCTATTACTGCCAGACTCGTATTTGATAAGGTAGTTATAATTTTATGAGGAATTATGTGATTTTTGTACCCGTCAAATTCGAAATTAAGACTAACAGTTTAAATTATTTTGGCTTTTAATGGGTTAAAGTTAGTTGATTGACATTTAAGGGATTATCGAAAATTAGTAAATTAATACAGAATCAGAATTGCTCTCCCTTAATACTTTTTTTTACTCGTCGCCGTGCGGTTTATGAATGATTTCATCCATGAAATTGTGCTTCATTAACACTGACAATTTCATTAATGATTCCAACCATAAAATTGTGCTTCATTAACACAGACAATTTAGATTGAGCCAGTTTCTCAGGCACTCTAATGCCTGCAATAAATTCTGAAATAGACGCCACAATCGTTCGTGTCTATATCTGAGAATGTTGATGCGTCACTATTATTGTCAAAAATATCAATTCATCACCATATTCTAGCCAAGAACATTAATGCATAACTATTTGTTGCCAATAATGTCATTTCATCACTAAACCATCGCATAAATATCAATATATTCTTTATTTCAGGCTGTAAAATCTGGGAGCATCACATCAGGCTTCCCAGTGCGGCAGACGCTGCCACCTCCTGCTACGCAGGCGCCTCCCGCATCACACTCCAACGTCCCTCAGGTCTCATTATTTTTTGTCTTCACATTTAGAGTACTATGAAAATATTTTTCAAGTAAAGATATCGTCAGTTTATTTTGCGTACTTCATGCCAACAATTGAACACAAATTTGTCATTTTTAAGGGTCGAGAGTTGAACGCTTACCTCTTGTTGGGTTAAGATAATCACCGCGCATCTGCAAACCATCCATCTTAGTTTTTTGATAGTTGGAACTGGGAAAATGTGGAAAATAATACGTATTTAAAATAAGAAAGTATTAATTTACAGTCAATGTGAAAATATGCATATTTATCTTGTTTCTTGACGAGTTATTTAGGCCGAATATAAAACTGGCGCGCCCATGATCATCAGGACTTTGAACATAATCCCAGGCTGGCGATTTATCTCTAGAACGTTCATACGGTATGTATTGGGAATGAAAAAGATATGGCGTTGAAACGTACCGCGTGAAGTTTTTTCCAGATTTGCTCCACAGTGATACCTGGCTTGTCTAGGGACAGGAATATTTAACGTCTGTTCTTATCATGTATACAAATAATATCCAATATTAATCATATTAATTTAATGGTGATTATGTGCAGGCTTACGGTCACCAGAGGACGACCTACTACTAAAGCCGTCATACCAGCCGCATCTGAATTTTGTGTTCCATCTTTTAAAATAAATTATAGAAACATTTTTTGGTGGACGACATCAGCTTAATTCTCGGCAGAATTGCGATTCCAAGTTTTTAGCGATTATTTATAGAAAGGAATTTTATTTAAGGAAAGGATTCTGTGGTTAGCGAATTTGAACTCGCATTAAGCCCCACCAGTGATGCGTATAGGGAATTATTGCATAGTGTACATGACATGGTTGTACATAGTAGCTATTCATTGTTGATATTGAAACTATGTTCCGGAGGTGCATCCAGTGCATGTTTCTTCGGGTAATAGATGCGATTATTTCAAGTAAATCGGTTAACAGGATGTTGTTAATATACAGTATAGTTTGCATCTCACTATTGTCCAAGGGTGACATCGTTGTCTGTGACTAACGATGCTATTCTTTCATCATAATTATTCAACTTATTGCAGCTGTGTTAGCACTAACGCTTCAGCTGAGGAAAAAAATTGCACAAACGTTTGGGCATTTGTTTTCATACATGCACGATTAATTGATGTGCAAAGCACGGTTACAGAATTATTTTCTCAGAGGGCCATATGATAGTTTAATTTAAAAGTTAGAAGTATTATTGCCATCTATTTTGACCTTGTTCAAATTTCAATGATAATATAACATATCGCCAATTGTGCTAGTGCGAGCTGGGTTTAAGAAACTATTTTGTTGATGTACCAAAATGATTACCTGAGTAACAAAATTACCACTTGAGGATAGGACAGTTATTGACCATAAGTATTATAAAGTACGATGTTTTACAATGTATCTTACAAATATGTAGAAAAGTAAATCCTATTTAACAAAATTAGGTTTGAAGACACCTTAACAGTTCAGCAATGTATCCAAGATACTGTATTAAAGCAGCACAGATAATTACAATTCGTTGTCGACAGGCGAGCTTCTAGAACAGAATTTGCTGCCACACTTCTTGACTAGGTTTTAGCCATGTATAGATGCAATGAACGAAATGAATGCAATAAACGTATCTTATACAGTATTTGCAATTGAATTGTCAACTTACTCATAATTTTGTCTTCAAGCGAAATATTGTATATATTGATTTTAAGCATGAGTAATAAAATGTTGACTTGATGTAATCGAATAGAAAGAACGAGTTTTAAACACGCTGATAAATTAATAAGCATTATTCTTCACGTGGACGCCGAAATGTCGCGCATTTGGCGCACGGCGGCGATCATCCTGACGGACACGTCCTCGAGGCGCTCGCTCACGGAGCTGAACTCCTGCGGTGCCGCCTTCAGCAGCACAAGCAGGTGGTCCAGGGGCCTGCAGCTGCCCACTCCCAGGTCCTCCAAGATGTTGCATATGTACTCTGCTCAGTAAAGGATGTTGAATGTGTATTGCTGTCATGCAAGGATGTTGCATATGTACTCTGCTCAGTAAAGGATGTTGAATGTGTATTGCTGTCATGCAAGGATGTTGCATATGTACTCTGCTCAATGAAAGATGTTGAATGTGCATCGCTTTCATGCAAGGGTATTGCATATGTACTCTGCTCAATGATGGATGTTGAACGTGTATCGCTTTCATGCAAGGATGTTGCATATGTACTCAGCTTAATAAAGGATGTTGAACGTGTAGCGCTTTCATGCAAGGATGTCGCATATGTACTCAGCTTAATGAAGGATGTTGAACTTGTTTCGCTGTCATTCAAGGTTCGGTCAGACTGATCGAACCGGTATCCTGTTTTGTCAAGGATGATGTATGTGTAGCCTGTTCAGACTAGGATGCTGCAAATGTACTCTGCTCGGTCAAGGCTTTCAAACGCATATCCTGCTTATTTTAAAATGTTGAATGAGTGCTTCGCACTGCTGCTCAGCCACAATGATGTTGAATATGTACATTATCAAATAAAGTTGTCAGATGCAGTGCTCCGTAAATGATGCTTGAGTCCACTGTCTTTCGTCGGAGTTGTTTAATGTATTCTTAGCTTATTAAAGTAAATCGTTCAGAAAATTCAGATTCCTTAGATATTCAACACGCATTAATTTTTCGAGTAAGATTTATTGGTATTTGGTACGGTAAGATTGCTCAGTCAGTATGAATAAAATAACTTGATAACACACACCGATATCAGTGATGAGCTGCGAGTGCGCGTGTTGCTCTAGCATGGGAATGCGCAGGACGGCGTCAGCAAACATTTGACACGTCTTCTGTGCTACGCGTCCGATCAGGAAGTCTGCCGCACTCACCTCACTCTCGCTCACGGCTCGCTGGCTGGTAACATTTGTGAATGTGAACATGGGAATGAAGCTCTCTTTAGTTTTTGTCTGAGAGCTCTAGTCTTTGAAGCTCTAAAGCAGAAATGCGCATTCGTATTTTTTGTTCATATTTCATATCGATTACGTATTATACTTTCATGTTACATCTTAGGTATATGTTGACTGAGGTATGTCGTTTCTCATGGATATCACACTACCAGAATATCCCTAGATAATTAATTTATTTTGTAAAGGTAAATCCACTATCTGAGAACGTTGAACCTACTTAAAAAGCAAGATTACGTTTTTAATTGCTTCATTATATTTATATGATCTTGATATCTTATAATGATATTAATCATGAAGAGATCTTGATCGTGACGAGATATCAACAGACCCTGCATGTTTGGAGTGGTCGGGGGCCACCTGCTGGAGGGCTCGGTTAAGGGCGGGGCTTGGCGATACGAGCAGCGGCTCTAGGTGCTGCGGCAACGTCAGCAGGTACTGCCCCATCTGTGTGACACGAAATCCATTACAACACAGCTACTGCCCCATCTGTGTGGCATTGTGCCCTTCATGTCAAGTAAACTATATGATCACATAGCTGAAAAGAAAAACATGAACAAAATTTTAAAAAGCCGAGCTAAAACAGAAGTAATGATAACCTGCCAGCTGCTGATGTTGGCAAGTTTACATTAAACTCAGCGCCAATGTTCGTTACGCCTCCGATCTTTAAATTAAATGCGTCCCTTAAAAATAGCAATGAATGAATGACGTTCGCATTATAAGTCTGCGCATAAAAACAGAGGTGAAAGAAAATACTGAAGACTCTATTGAGAATGTAACCTGTGTGACGTATTCCTGTGGGGAGAAGGCGGAGGAGAGCGTGTGGGGCAGCTTAGAGGTCCACAAGGGCAGGCTGGGCACGGGCTTCAAGTGTGTCTGTAGGGGAGCGCTGATGGTCTGCAGACCCACCGTCACGCAGCTCCTGCACTCCTCCCGCGCCTTCGTCAGGCTGTCGCTGAGAACACCACCGCTCTCTGAATAATATATCAATGCATTATATTCATGCCATTCGACAGGATGTCACAGAGAACGATAATGCTCTCTGAATAATACGTTAATTCTGATATATCCATACCCTTCGTCAGGCTTTCACAGATGAAACCGGCGCTCACCAGGAGACAAATTAACCACAGATTTAATCGCAATTACGAGATTGAGAGACGAGGTAGGTTCGTCCTCTTTGAACGAGACCTAACAAACGTGTACCATGCAACTCTTGATTCATAGATCTTACACATGTACATATACATCGACTTGTCCATCACTTTAAATTTTATTAATACGTTAATGATATAAGTATGCAGTTTGAGTGTTCACATTAGTTCCAGCAATATTAGTCATACATTCAAAATTTCAAATTAATTATTGAATGAATTATTCATGGGGTAAACACTAATGCTAAAAATTCATTTTACACATTCTACTAAATTAATCCTAATTGCAATTAGCTCTTAGTCCGTTTCTTCTGTGTAAAAAGTATAATAAGGCTATCATAATAACCTTTGAAAACTCGACACGAGCCTTACAACAAAAACATGATCATTAACGATGAAGAATACATGTAAATGTACCATCAGTGTTAATATTCCAGTTTCACTGGCACTGGTTCGCTAGTGCATCAAAAATTTAAGTACGTAGGTATGTAAAATATAGCTGTTTCATCGTAGGCCTGTCGCCGGTTCTTAACATCGCAGAATATTCGCAGCTTGTCGCGGTCTCAAACACGCAAATCGCTGCTCCAATTCTGCTTTGCTTAACTGTCCGGCCTCCTCGTCGATTCTGACCAGAAACTGGCGCACAGAGCTGGGATCGAAAATTCACCTCTGTGCTGCACTGTTCTTATTCTGAATTTTAACCACTGGGCAACTTTGCATTGTTACATACATGGTGCATTGTTTCGTTTTTGTATAACAATAGGCAGTTATTTGGTTTTGTTACAGTCTTATTTGCACATGTTTTTCTAGGAAAGGGATTAGTTTGACCTAGATTGCTGTGTTCGATATCTTACTTGTACCCAAATTTCTTGGCCGTTACACGTTGCCGATTCCCCTTCATTTCATCTCGTTCCTAATTTAGCTTCAATCTCAACTCCTTCTTAACTGAGTCCCTTTCCCAGCTTGTGAACGTAGAACATATTTAATTCCATTCTAATATTACACAATTTATGGTGGGATTATTTATGACTGACCTAAAATCTGCTGCAAATAATACTAATATTAGACAAATTAAATGAGATTACTTATAACTGACCTATAATCTGCTGCAAATAATTTTTGGTGGTAGCAACCTCTGCAAGAGGCAGCAGGGCAGGTGCAGAGAGCTTGAAGGGCTGCAGTGACCAGCAGATCTCTGCAGCCGAGAACGCGCGCTCCAGACACTCGTCGCACTCCTCGACAGCCTGCAGCACAACACCTGAGACGGGCACTCTTATCAGCAAATTGTATTTCTTCCTACATAATTGTAGTGTTGTAGGTTTACCCATCAATCTCATAAATTCAGACAATAACACATAAGTGCACGAGCATGATTCATTGCATTTCATAGTAGATATTCGTAATACTAGAGTTTTATACCTCAATATTCTAATCCAGATAATTATACAGAAATACAACAGCACAATTAATCGATTTTCATTAATTGTGGACTAGAATTTCTCAGAATTGTCATTCGGCCAATAATAACCATTGGAAATATTGTGAATCTAAGTATAAATATGAATTTTCTATTAGCTCGATGAGATTTGCTGTTATTTCTACTGGGAAAAATTGGAAAGCTGCAGGTGAACGGCATGTCAACACACTTAAGCTTTTGCTGTATGGAAACATTTATGAGCAATTGAACAGCGTTAGAATCAATTCAGAAAGTGGATAAATTATTTTTAAATTTTAAAAATCAATAAAGTAACGCAAAATAAAAGTTGAAATTTCAATAGTTTTGAAGCACGACAAACTTGAAAGCAAGGAACTAAATAAAAGGCTGACAAATTTTAGTTCAAACTGAGATCGAGCGAAACTGGAGTAAATTTTGAGGGAGAAAATTTTTAAAACAAGGTCATGCAAAAGTTTTGATCGGAGACAGATCGTATGTAAACAAAATCAGAGTACGAAAAAACATGAGCGAGAAAAATGACAGGAAATAGATCGAAAGAAGCTGCACGGGACCAGCTGTGTTGATGAGGTCGAGGCAGCTGGTGAAGACCGTCCAGTCCTGGGCGATGGAATCATCTAAGGTAGCCACGGCCTTGCGGGCGGCAGCCAGCACCGCCAACACGCCAGCCATGTAGTCAGCCACTCCAGCCACCAGGCCTCGACACGCAGCCAAGCCGCTCACCTTCCGTCAATGACACACGAGTCACCACTCAGCAGATACTGCACTCAACTCGCAATCGTCAATTAAAGCAGTATAATACTGGTCAAGACTTTGACTTATAGGATTCGGTTACCACATAGGAACTACGAAGCTGTTGCGGTTGCGCTAGGGAGTTGCGGTTGTTTGTTAATAAAATAGATCGTTGGCAGCCCATGAAGGCCGGTGATTTAAAAAAAGTCACGTAACCCCGATAAATTTCATCGCACAAGTTCAATTTGAACCTCATTAGGGATGAGAACAGTCTGATGTAAATCCTACAACTTGAAGCACCAGTGAACTGAGTTTTGATCAGCCTGCATATGTATCTGCATGGTTAAAAAAGGGAAAATATTTTGAAATTTTGTAACATCAAAACAGAGAAACTCGCCATAATTTTAGACTCACTTTTACTCATGTCAGACTACATTGGCAACTGTACTTACACTTGGCACGATTATAACGTAAAATTATGTGGTCTGACAATAGTTGAAACCTAAGAGAACACATAATTACATTACCAATACCAATTACAAGATAATTTACTGGACATTAAGTTAGAAGAGACCTTAAGACACCGCGACACAGCGAGGTCAGTCTGGGCGGCCATCTTGCCGCAGTATTGCCGCACCCTCAGCAGAGTCTCTGACAGCTCCTCGCACTCCAGCTCTGCCATCACGTTAATAATTTAGTTCTTCACACTGACATCCTTTTCAATGTTTACATTAATACTCTTAATAAGAAGATGGTAACTGTCAAAGCTTAGCTTACAAAGAAAAGTTATTACACGTAAACAAGAATTAATGGAACTAGAGGATTGCTGGCCTATTGATATATCTAGAATATTGTAATCCACATTACACTACATATATAATCAGGTTATGCACTTAACATCAATGTATTATGCTATTATTATTATTCACAAAACACTCTATTTAATCAAGTAATACACCTAAGATCAACGTGTCATGCTGTTCTTATCCACACAACAACAGGCATAAGCGAACACACAACAGGATGCAAGTGCGCACACATAATCGCAAGCATGAGCACACATAACACAAAAGCGTCACGTTACTCTTATCCACACAACAGGATGCATGCACGTCATGATCACCATCAGCCTGCAGGTGCCCTAACAGCGCCTGCGACTCGTGCTGCCCGTAGGCCGCGAGCTGCGCTCCCAGTGGCGCGTACACCGCGCGCGTCAGCGCCTCGTGGTCTGCGGCGCTGTCAGTCTCTGCCGGGACAATGTGCTTTTATAATCATGATTTCATCCTGATACATTTTACAAATACGTTTGAAAAAGTTCTCAAATTTCTGGTCCTTGGAATAAAGATATAGAACGGTAACGAAAAATCAGTTTTAATGCAAAAGTCAACTGTTATCATGATACTATTTATTGTTGCATTACTGTGAACAACCGATATGGGATTTTAAATTAAATTGGTTGCTTGATTTCATCAAAGCAACATGTACATTAATGAATATTTTTTTTTAAGATTTTACATATGTTATTGGTAATTGTGCTCCAGTAATTAAACCTGGTTTAACTTACGTCCTGGTACTTTAATGTTTAAATTCTAGTAAAATTGTTTTTTACAAATTTATTTTTTCAGCTAAGATCCCACATCATATCCTTAACGATAGTGGTTTTAGGAGTTATCTCATATAATCCACAGGCAAGTGCTGTATAATGAACTATGCCATTGACTGCTTCTAATAATGCTAATAGTAATAATATGCTTTTCTAATAGTAATGAGTAATATAAAATAGGGTAAAATACACAGAATTTAGCATGAACCTTGCGAGGTGAGAGTGTGCTGAGCTTGTACAAGGAAGTCATCCATTGTCGTCCTGATGTTGCAGAGAAGCAGCACAGGATCTTCTTGTAGCTTTACTGCAGCGCCAATAACCTGTAACGCAAATGCTATGTTAACAACCGCATCACTTACAAACACTTATCTAGCTTATGTAGCTTTAAAGTACAATGGAAAACAGACTTGTTGACCGAGGATTCTATATGTCAATAAAGAACGGGGATGTTTAAAAATAAATATTTTCTTCGTGATCTAAATAAGCACTTTTGGGCTACGAATCTGAACACGGTAAATATTACGGTATGGAACTCAATTGATGCATGAGTTAAATAATTAATAATGAAATTAACTTGATTCATTATATCTACCATTCCTTGACACAGCCCGAACAAGAAATTTCCATAGAGATTATCATTCTTTCTAGTGTATTATTTACAACAACGCCGCTTTACACAAATTATTATCCCTGCTGTCCTTATGATTAAGCTTTTGTGTGGAGTGACCTGCGCGATGGGCGGATCGAGGTCTGTGAGGGCGGCGGTGATGAGCTGGCTTAGCACCTGGCGCGCGTTGCAGTCGCTGAACACTTCACTAACCCACTCAACCTGATCACAGATTCACAATCATTATTCAAAACAAATGGACATGGTTAACATTAATTTATATGCGTTTACATGATGTGAAAAAATATGTCAGAAAGAAAAAGGTACAGTTTCAGGTTGTGAACTGAAAATTTCAGAATTTAATTGATAGTCGAAAATTAATCCGTGTTAATAGTTATGAGATATAAATGTATATCACATGACAGCTTCAAGCACAATGACTTATCTGAATACTTATGAATTTATTTGGACATTGTAATCTTCCATTGCGTGATGGATAAGAACGGTGAGATAGATATCTTTTACGCTTATAAATGACAACTATGTTGCCCGTGAAATGTACCTTGTGCATGACAGAAACTATAGGTGCACCTGCTTGCGAAGCTGCTCGACGAGATGGTCGAGGTAATGAGCGAGACACGGGAGACTCGCGCTCGTCAGGGGGTCAGCCTCGACAGCCTTGGGCCACTCGGCAGCGAGCGCCGCCAGCGAGCACTGATGGAAGTAGCTGAGTGCCTGACTGCTGCGCCCCACGCTCCTCAGGATGCCGCTGTACTTTATGCTCTCGCCTGCGGCGGTGCAACAGATTACAATTCCTGAATTATTTGTCACTGTACATCAGACAACTTCAGAAACTTCATGATTTTTCCTGCAGTCTAGCTACTTATTATAAAAACTTGTTTAGTGTTGTTTCCACTGACTGAGGTTGTGTTGCGTGAAGGCCTCGACGACATGAGGACTGGCCATGGCCTCAATGCGGAGCTGGAAGTTGTTGAGGAGGTCGGCTCGGTCCTCACTGTCAGGTGTCTGGCTCAGAACAGAGAGGCAGTGCTGAAGCTCCACCACCTTTCTTGCTGCTGCCTCCAATTCACCATTCTCAAGCAACTGCAAACAATATTATTTTAAAATACAAAATACATCAAGAATTTCATAGTATACAATAAAATAAAGTTATATGAGGTAACAAAATAGAAAAAGTCTCAGGTTCACATAGACGAAAAAGAGAGTTAAATGTGAAGTTTGTAAAGCATATTAACAGATGTAGTGAAAAAATTCGGGAAGTTCCAAACAAATGTATATTATTGCATTAAACACAAATGGCATCCACAAAGAAAGATTGTAAAGACATTTAATTGATAAAAAATTCATCTAAATGCAGATCTTCAAATAGAGATACCAGTACCATACTCCTACTGAAAAAATTTTACTTATGCATATCGGTAAAATTTTGAGGAAAAGCTAATAAAATATTGCACTCGCCTCACAGATATTGTGCACTTAAAGGATGAAGGTGATAACTAGAACCAATAAGCATATTGGATGACTGCAGTCACTTCACAGATATTGTGTAACAAAAGAATGACGTGATAATTAGAAATGAACCAGAAAGCATTCTGGATAAATACAAAACATAGGAGGTAAGATTTGGAACAATAAAGCTTAGACAGTAAGTGATATGACCTCTTCAACTTCAGTAGCCAGAGTGGTCCAGTTGTCAGCCTGACGCAGAGCTTGGGCTGAGAGCGCAAGGCGGCTCTTGACGCTCTCCAGCTTTACTAGGGTATCAAGGCTACTGCTCACCTCAGTGGCATTTACCTGCAATATATTCTTCTGTTCAATTTGAACTTCAATAAATTCATTAGTATATCACAAAGTGAATATGGTATGTCATGGTATAGATTATAGAACAAGTCAAACAATTGGAAATCAAATTTCACATTATAAATCGAAATGAAACTTTTTCAAAGTTCAAAAAATACTTATTGCAACTACAACAAGAAATAGAAATGTAGGTATTAATTAGAGAAAACTAAAGATTTTTTGTAGTACTTACAGTACATATTTGTCAAATTTGCAATTGCATAGATAAGTCCAGAAGACATAATGATTGCTCATATAACAATGGAGCCAAATAACTAATGTCTTGATTAATGTTCTATGTTTACAAATTAAATTAACAATATTATTACTATTAAAATACATGCTGGTTAGAAAATATTTACATTATAATTATATATTTCTTTGTCAAGAACAAATGATGAGTAAAGCCTTGAAGATCAAAAGAATTTTTGTAACAATACCTTCTGTACATCTGCCATTAAAGATTCCATTTGTGTTTTGAGCAGTGATGCTTCTTGACCAAGGCTCTCAACATCACGCACAACTCTGGGCAGACTGCTTAGCAGCTGGTTGCATTGTGTAAAAAAGCAATAGAGGAAGATCTTTAGAGGTTAAAGTTGGGATTTAGCAAACATACTATCTGTTAATAATACACCAGATTTAAAAAAAATAAAATTACACCCTTTAGCATCTAACTGTACATATGTTGCCTTTCACAAGGACAATTCTTGTTCACATTTGAAGCTCACTTGTCCAATTGGACAAATATATTGGCTTTAATTTCAGCCTGCCTATGCCCAGTTGGAAGTTCTTGTGACCTGTTGTTTTTTTCCTGACGAATAAATTTCTGCACTATGGTATAGATGCAATGTAGTATTTTGCACTTGCAAGGTAGCTGGTTGCTAAAGGGTTAAGCTTTAGTTATCCTTGTAAGTAAATCAATGGTGACAAAGGATATAAAAGAAAGTAAATTGTTAATTTTAACTGCATTATTATAATCCAAATCAAGTACATAAAATATGAAGTGCAATTCATAAGAATGATGTTCATAAACAGAAGAAAATGAAATTCAAACAGACAATGAAGAGTAATGATTCAGAATGTTAATGTAAATAAATTAAGATCTGACATACTAATGTAGGCATTCACAAAAATGTAAATGGAACATTGTAGCATATAGTTGAAAAAATGCGCTAAAAAGAACTAAAATATTGAATGTCATCATTGTCATGATTCCAGGTTCTCCTTCAAACTCATTCTTGTCTCTAAATTTGAATTACTATACACAATTAGCAACATCACACAATACAATCACTAATATTATAGTTTGAAGTCTGTAATATCATGCTAAACAATCTGTAACATCACAGTAGGCCATCTGTCACCTCAAACTATGCAATTTGTAACATCACAGTAAACAGTCTGTCACATCAAACAATACAATCGATAACATCACAGTAGACAGTCTGTTACATCACACTATTCAATTTGTAACATCAGTAACATCACAGCAAACAGTCTGTCACATCACACTATACAATTTGTAACATCACAGTAGACAGTCAGTTACATCACACTATTCAATTTGTAACATCACAGTATTTTTTGAAATTTATGTCTGTCACATAAACTATTTAATTTGTAACATCACCGTAGACAGTCTGTCACATCACACTATACAATTTGTAACATCACAGCACTGACAGCAGACAGTCTGTCACAACACACTATACAATTTGTAACATCACAGCAGACAGTCTGCCACATTACATGAAATAATCTTTAACATCACACTTACCTGCTGACTGGTGTCTTCTAGACTGGAGTTGACTTCTTGAATGGCCAGTTGCAAGCGCATCACCAAAGACGAGGCATATTTCTTTTGACAAAAAACAAAATTAAGATAAAAAATGACTGATATAAAAGGATATTGTTATTTCATTTATATATTTTATATTCATAATAAAGTTTAAACATAATAACTATTAGTATTAATAACTATTAACCAGATATATGATTTTTCTTTAGTAGATATTTTCTTTGGAACTGTTAAAAAAGAAAATATTATATAGAAATACTTTGATGTTGGCATTTTATCACTTTAATGGAACATTTTGTAGTTTTTCTACAAGTCTATAATCAGAATCAATACAATATAATAGTCTGCTTAACAAAATTTGTAATTTAACTTATATTAGTACCAAGTTTTTGGTGGCAGTCTTCATGGTTAAAAATATTTACAATTATTGCTTTACTTATAATTTTGTATTTAGTGCAGGACTTAAATGGTCAGTCAGGTCAGAGATATTCAAAATTCAAATAACTTCTTAATTTTGGTAAATTAAAATAAAAATTGATTTAAATAAAGCTTCAGCCTTCAAACTATCTTAAAATATAATAATTTTATTTAAAAAATGTGAATGTCATTAACAAAGCACTGGCAAATTTATTTAACATAGGTACTTTTTATTCAAAAATTTATGTCTAAAATCAATACATTGTATTTTTTCCATCTTAGCAACAGGAGGTAATAAATATCTGAATAGCATAAAGATTATTAAAAATCTAACTAGAATAATAAGCAATAAATAGAAAACTTACATCATTTTTTTCTTGGCCTTTGAAGATATTGTTTATCCAATCCTTTGGATCAAATTCTTCAGCAGAAAATGGTGTGAGATCCTGGAAGAAAATATTTTATACATTATTCTCCCTCTAAACTAAAGTTAACTAATTTGCTACACATCCTAAGTGGAAAAAACGCGACTTCAGATGGATTAGTTCGCCTGTTAATGAATTCCGTAGAGGGCTTAGGCTGCGAAAAATTGGCACTAATTCCGCAAGATGCACAAAATTTATAATGAATTCAAGACGAATTCCGCAGCGCAATCAGCAAAGCGAAATCCGCGCGAAGTTCGAAGCCAAGAAGAAAATACGGAAGCCAGACGCACGATCAAACAGAAGCTACTGGACCAGGAGCAACGTTCATGTTCGTCGACCCACTCAACCGTCGTATTGCTCGAGAAGCAAATATGACGTGAACGCGATGTACGAAGTGTAACTGTTATATAGAAAAATGTCGGCACTGAAGAAATAGGCCCATGGCCTGTTGAGGATTCTTGTACTTTTTTTTTTTTAGACGAAATTGAGATGTTAGTTGTTTAAATGATGAATCGTGAAAACATAGCAATTCCAAGAGAATGTTCAAGATCTCTTACAAAATCCGTGCAATGGCGGTTCGGTGTAATTCCGTGAGAATTTTGAAAAGCAGTACTCCTGATCATTACCTTAAATTTCCAATTGGGCTACACATAAGAAAGAAATTTTAGTAAGTAATTTTAATTTATATTTTGAGGCCATTAATTTATTTAAACATGTGGCTTTACTATAGACTAAAGGGCGGCATGAAATGAAATTACTACTAAAATGGGAAGGTTGGGAAGGTGGCGGCCGGGGGTTTGCCCGGGGGCCGGGGCCCCGGGTGCCGGGTGGGTTGCAACTGTTGAACTGCACGAGTTGCGAGTTGAGACCGGTTCTAGTTTACAAAAGGAATCACAGTAAAATTGTGAAGAAGTACTTACCATTTCTAGTCCTTTAATAGTAAAATTAGTCTTGAAGGCCGCGTTTACGCAGCTTTTATTATAACTTTTTGGCAGCTTCATCCATTTCAGGCTTGAGCATAAGTTCATAACACGACGCAACTATGTGAGATGACGGGATGACGTAAACAAATTTTCCTAAACATCAGATTACGAATTCAAAACTTGGTCGCCGGATAAGAAACTTTCCGGCGCCGAATATCCAGATGCATTGTGGGATCGGCCGCCATATTTGTAGCATGGTCTAGCTTTCGCCTACGTGTTAAATCTACTGCGATCGTCTCTTTTTGAAGTTTTTGCTTGAAGTTGGGACGCTACTGCACCGTTGTAGGATGTACCAGTCGTTCTCACGGCCATTTAAACAGAAAACTATACAACGGAATGCTTTTATTCAGTTTACTAGCCGTGAATGCCGTGTATATCGTATCAGTTTACGGCTCGTACTGATATACGCATTGCATATCAGTTTACCAGCCGTGAATATTTATTATATACGATACTATACATTTTCCAGGCGCAAAATCTGTTACTTGCCTTTAGATAAGCTACATAAGTAAGAATAAAACGTAATAATATATACCGATCAGTTAACATTGTCATGATCCATTGTCCTGCAGCGATGATAGTGTTATTGGCTTATTGCAGTTGGCTGGTATGTGGGAAGATCAAAATGATTCGCTTTGTTCTACAACATCAAATGTTTCGAGTTCTTTACATTGCCTTTCAATTTCAATATAAATTATTGGTTTTGCAAAACGTCGAGGTTTCTGATGAATTGGTGTGTTGTTGTTTTTCAGTTCTGTGGTCTGAGGTGTCCATGAGCGCGTCCAATTTCGAAAATCGGTATTACTATGAGCCGGCCGAACCCTGGTTACCTGGTAAGCATTGATAAAATTCTATCCTTTTCCTCTTCAAAAAGGCGAAAAAGAATTTCATTTTCCATTCTTAGAAGGTTCCATTCATCAGCATCATTATCTTCGTCCAGTTGTACTACCAAACTAACTCTACCAAGTACATCGCCTTTCTTGATTCGTTGAAGTTTCGTTTCTCCATCGCCTGTACCATCCATCCACAAATTATTTGTAATCTTCAAGCGTCTTGTATGCCATGAATTCTTGCAAGGTGTATTGGCTGACCACCAAATACCAAATAGTTTAGTAAATGATCGTGTTAAACGGGAGGCAGACTTGCCAAATCTGGCTTTGCCGGCACTTCGTTGGCATCGACATCGTTAATGTCGAACAATTTTCTTAAATATCGGTCACTCACTGAAGGAAGGAGTTTTTGACAACAGCCTAATCCTTTCTGATTTGTTCTTTCTTTCTCTATTGCTACCAAAACGTCCAAATGTGTAGGAACGAGAGAGTAAGCTGAGGCGCCAGTGTGATACAAAAATGGCGGCGTAGCAACGCGGCTAACGTGGATACGCGGGAGCTTGGCGAGCCCAATTCATATATATTCATAAAGCAAACATTTTCAATCAATACTCATATATTATATATCTAATTTTAACTTTCCACTATTCGTATTTTTACTTCGAATTCATTATTATGTATTTCTGTTCATGTTTGTCAGAGCTGGCATTGCGGGTATATACGTAATTGTGGACACCATAGATTATATTCGAATAGTACTGTTCTTAGAGTGTGATGCAACCAGTAATAAACAACTTCAACTAGGGAGCTCTGGCACGATGCACAGATGGGTGTGCACAATGCAACGATGCACTGATGCTGTACCCGTTAAATTTTTTACATCAATTTCAACTAGCGTATTAGGAATAAAAGCATAAACGAAATATCATGGGTTATAATTTATTCTTCATTTTCACAAATGACAAACAATTTTCTATTAAACGGTCGCACTGTAACAGGGATCATTGGCTGCAGCCATGGAACCACCGACCCAGGTCAACCGCCGCCACCATTCCTGCATCTCGCAGACAACCTGTACATTAGTGGTCCTTCTAAAGCTGGAATCTGGAGACAACTGAAAGAAACCTGGTTAACAGAGATATACAAAAGAGAGTAGGCGACCAGTAAAATGAATTAAGCGAACAGAGACAGTAAAAAGAAATCAGGCGAGCAGAGAGAGCCAACAGAAACCAGGCGAGCAGAGACTGCCAAAGGAACCAGGCGAGCAGCGACAGCCAAAAGAAACCAGGCGAGCAGAGACTGCCAAAGGAACCAGGCGAGCAGAGACTGCCAAAGGAACCAGGCGAGCAGCGACAGCCAAAAGAAACCAAGCGAGCAGAGACAGCAAAAATAAACAAGGAAAACCGAGACAGAAAAAAAACAGGCGAGCAAAGACAGCAAAAAGTAAAAAGCGCTACTTGCAGGTTGCATGTTAGCCTGCTTGTGTTGAACTGAGCAGATTTGAACATGACAATTGTTAATCTTCTGATCGTGATTTCTACCAAAATTTAGGAGCCAGTGCACGAAGATTTTACACATAACTTATTTTCTGCACTTTTTCCCAATAATGAACTGTACAAATATGCTCAGTTGTTTACATTGAACGATTTGCAGTCTTCTATTTGTCTTTAAACAATGGAAATTTATAAATTCAGAAGATTGACCTTCCATTGAAAACCATTTACTATGTTCGTCTTATTTCTAGTCGTAAAATTATCATTCCAACATCAGGAATCAATATACAAATATGCTGATACTTATTAATCACGCAATCGGCATGCGAAAGTTTCATATTCAAAATCAAGAGTTCACAGTCAAGACCTGTCAACAATTATCAAATCAAATCTTATTACACATTAGAACATCGTATAAAGCGAATTTAAGTGAACAATAAATTCTAATCATTCCCTTAGTAAGTAGCGAACAACTATAGCTTCATTTAAACAACAGGCAAGGCGAGAATTCTTGCATGATTTTACTAATCGTTAAAATTAGAACCCAAAAATATTTAATCATGTACAGAACAAATGCACATTCGCTAGGCGACGACGCAGCAAACATAGAATAATTCAACCGGAGAGCATATTTCAGGATTTTGTGCTCTTATGAGCAATGGGGAGGCATTAGAATTGAATTAATTTTGGACATCTCTTACTTTGACAGGATATGCTTTATAAACGAAGTCCCTATCAAGAGTGTCAGAGCCGCTTGGCGTTGGGGTCGAGGACGGAGAAGGGTCTAAAGTGAGAGACAAGTCGCTGTCCTTCGGTAAACTCCCCAAGCTGGTCGGGGGAGTGTCGGTGAGACTGGAAGCGTAAGAGTCTGGGAAATATGACGAGTATTTATTCAGGAACTGCTCGGCAGCCTGCAAGTGCATTGGGTGCAAGTTAACAGGTTTCGTGTAGGGTCTTGGGTACTGCTGAGCCGCGGGACGCGTATTCACTTGGTTTGGATATGAGTTCGCGTGAGATACACGCGATTTTTCCTGGGTCGTCACATTTTCAGCATCACGCAACTGTTGTCGTTGATTTTGGTCATTCCCATTTTTCGAAAGATAATCATGTGGACTGTAATTTTGCACGGGTTTTCGATTAATAGAACCATTCTGATTTTGCACAATTGGCTTAACTTTGTTATTTGAACTCGTATTGGATGATCGGTTTGGTCGTAATGAAGTTGACTGAGCCAATGGCTTGTTTAGCTCTTGAGCATCAAAATAAGCATTGAATGCTTCGTCAGCTTCACGTTGTTGTTGCGGGTTGATGGAAATGTCAGAGAAAGCGGAAACAACTGAAATATTGTCATCATCACGAGCCATGTGGGTTGTGGACGGTGGAGTTGGGTTTTTTCCTGGTGGCTGAAGACTGGCACTTTTGGTCAAACCTGTAGGAGTTTGATGTTGAATAGTTGTGCCCCGTCGAGGATTGACATGATGGTCGGATTTCACAGCATCTTTCGATTTCTGGTTGCCGTTGTGAGACGAATCAAAATTATTATCTTCTGGCCGATAAAGAGGAGCCAGTTTTTTCCATTTATCGGCGTTAACCTTCGTCGTCTTTCGTTCTCTGAAGCTCTGCCTGCCAGGCTCAATGAGTGGAGCCGGATACCTGGTAATTTTATCTCTGTCGTTCAGGTTTTCAACGGAATGAGATCTTCGCAAGTACGATTCCAGGGGGTACTGTTTTGTATGCTGCTGCGAATGCGTCTCGCTGAATAAGGCCTCATCGGTCAGATTTGGCGTGCTGCTACTTGCCTTCTTCTTGCGCGCATCTTGCTTATAATCTTCTAGAAGTATTCCGTAGCCGCCAGCTCCAACTGCACTGTTGCCACCACCCCAGATTATTTGTTGTCCTGTCCTGCAGTAAGTCACCGTTTTCTTCCCGTTTTTAGTTTGTATTTTCGTATCAATTGGATATTGAAGAAAATATCGTCTATCATCGCTAGAAGGATGACCAAATTCTACTCGCAAAGCCTCCCGCGACGCGTTGTAGCCGAATATCTCATGACTTGAAGGTTCCGAATTCGGTCGCATGTTGTAGTTGTTTTGGGTGGACACCTGCTGGTTGTTATGCATTCGATCCAAGTAGCTTTTCCCATAACGTTTGGCAATCATCAGCAATTCTCGCTTCTCACGTTGCCTCTGCTCTTCTTCTTTTTGTTTTTTGAGTCGTTGCTGCTCGTATAGGTAGGCAAGGTATTTGTTCTCATCCAAGAGCTGAAAATTCACGACGGCCGGAATTTCGACGAGAACAGAGCGGGCATTTAGGTTTGTGGGAGAGCAAACAAAGTTCACTATCTTGCACATTTCCGTGAACGCCATCTTGATGTTAGTGTAGTGATATTCTTGACCATGCTGTATTATAGACACTTTCTTTATTGACCTCACTGACTGCTCGAATAGCTGACTACTGAAGTTTTCTGGATCCGGAATACATTTCCTGAAAACATTCTGCATGAGAAGAACGTCTCGGTCAGCCACAGCGTGTCGCAACAGGAGCACCCCGGCTATGGCTTCCCTGTAGTAAACTTTGTGCACAACGAATGGAAAATTATTTTTCCCGGTGGTTGAAAGTCCTTCTGAATACTCGGCAACTGCAAGCAACGTCAAGCTCGGGTGACGGACGGCGTCAGTTTCAACGCCCCCACCAGTAGGGTGGTTCAAGGGCGGCATCAAGTTACCCACTTCCCGCACCAGTTGGATGTCGTACCTAACCAGGTCCTGGGTGATGAGGGCCAGGTTTGGGTTGTGGGTCGTCGACAGATGGAAGTTAGGCAGACAAGATCCATCTCTGGGGTCGTAAAGATCGCCAGGATTGGGACGCAAGTTCCCGTACAATGGCTTCCGAATCAACATCTGGAATGAAAATGAAAAGAAACTGCCTGAAGACGTTAATGCATAGCATAGCTGTAGAGCGAGCGTTTCTCGAAAACTGTTTAGGAATTGATAATAAATGAAATTAATTTCAGATGCTTTTTGTGCCTGCAATGCAGTGTAGCCATTATAAGCAAAGACATGCTGCATTAATCAGAATTATATATAAATAACTTGAGGTATAACTCAAATTTGGCGGTGAAATTTCATTCACTCAGATTTTAAATTTGTCGTAAATTTCTTACTATTTTGAATCTCGCAATGAATCTCGCTACTTGAGAGCACCCAAAGACCCAGAATCATATCTAGAACACGAGCTTAGTTTACGTTGTCGCTGAGCTTCTGGTCACACCATTGCTGCAAATAGTGATATAATAAAATTGGATCACCCATCGAGCACGCTGTCAGCCCTTGGCATTTCAGTTATTGGACACGAATTTCACTTTTTACCTTTCAATTGAGTAATATCAACTGAGTTGCACAATATTTCAAACTTCATTTAATAGATATAATAACAATAAAACACTGCACAGAATAATATCGCAGTATAATCATCCCGCGCTAAATAAATCCTTATATTTCAGGATTCATATTCGTAAGCAGCTTTTCTGATACCCAGCTTCACATATCAAATGAGCTTAATAGAGCAAACTACGAGGAGAAACTGGATATTAGTACTTTAATTTTCATTAACCAGTTGTTTACAAACTCGAGAAAAATAGTGATGGAAACTATGCTTGGATTGAATCTCAAGTAACATTCAAAATATATGTCAGGTTCACACTTGAAAAAACCTAAAATAAACAATCTATAATGCATTAATTACCTCGTACAGAAGTAGCCTCCTACCGAAGGAGCGTAGCTTGCAACTGAGACCTACAGTATCATCGTGGATCACAGTCTTATCTCTCTTATCTTTTACGTTATCGCTGAAACTCAGCCGGGTCGTGGAGAGCTGCAAGATAAGTGATGCAACGACTTGCGCACTAAACGTCTCTATATTAACATAGAGATGATTTACCTTATCTTTTGCTAACATCATCAATGTTAAGTAGGAAGCTTCCGGCAGCTTCTGGACATTAGTTAAAAATTACTTGGTATCCGAAAGGAGGAAAATGCAAAATCCTTGACTTGACTTCGACAAATCAATGGAACAACTAACTAACTGTCAAAACATTAAAAAATATAACTCAGTACTCACAGCAGTGAGTGACAGAGAGCGCATTTTCTCGTCGACGAAGACTTGAGGTCACGGACGGACGGACAGACGGACGGACCGATCGACGGACGGACAGACAGACAGACGGACATGGCGAGCACAATAGTGCATTTTTTCCATAAATGAGAAAATGCGCTAAAAATGTCGCTATTATTAAGACACATAAATAAAAAGTAGAGGAATAAATCGGAAGCGATCGAACTGTAGCAACCGATTCCCCCTTCCAGAAACCAAGAGGCACTTGTTTCAAAGATGCATAAAAACGCGTAGAAAGTTTTTTCAACCTTTACTGGAAGACTATCTCATTTCAGAAGCTTAAATAGGCAAACTTTAACACATGTGTGAAGAAGTTTAACTACCATATTAAGCGTTAAAAAACATTTCCAGTCATGGTATTTCGAAACAGTGGTCATGGAATTATATTTCAACAGGATTGATGGAGACCATCGGGAAATTTACCAGCGAGTATGGCTTAAGAAACCAGTCGCAATAATAACAATTACAAGAAGGACAAAATTTATTAAGAAACGCCTCTAATAATTTACCGAAATTTAAAAAACTGCAATTTGGTCTCTTTTTATACTAATGATACAAGGTAATTTCTAAGATTATCAGAGCCGCTGGAATCTCAGCAGTGCTTCCTACTGATACAACTGCGCTAGTAAAGCTACAATTCTGGGGTATGCCTGATGGTCCAACAAGTTCTCTTGTATTCTGGCAACTACACCGGATTCAAATTTCTTGACAGCGTCAAGCACAAGCAAGACTTCGTGGACGTGGCATTGCTCGAGCACACCGAGGAGGCTGCACAGCACACCTCGCTTATCTTTTAGATCCCCGAAAATGAACCAATAATGCAGAGTGCTTGCAAAATAAAGCTCAAGAGAGCGTCTGAGATCGCGTAACTCGGCCTCAGTGCTCGGCGAAAATGAGATTTCATCAGAGTCTAAAATGTGAGTGACATCATCGTAGTTGGACTCGCGTAAAGATGATCGTCTTCGAGATCGAGATCCAGTTTTCAGTTTATTTTGAAGCTGATTTTTGAATGACTGGTGCTCACTGATACGCTTTGCCTCAGCATTGACTGAGTTACTATCTGACACCAACGTGTCGAAATGTTCGAGAACATCAACAGCTTTATTCTGATTAATTTTTGATGAAAACTGACTTGAACTAGCATTATCTGCAGCCTCAGTCAACGGTGGTGGGATTGTATCAAGAGAATGGTTAGAATCATGAGTACAATCTGCTTCATTCTGATTGTCTGTCAAAGAAGAAACCGTAATTTCTGAGTCAGGATTGTTGTATTTGTTAACAGCATCTTCCCAAAAGATGCCTGATAGCTCCAACAAGGAAAGTATCCGCGCAAGCCCTAGAATGACCTCGGGTAACGAGAGAGTTCGCTTGAGAATTCCAAGCAACCTGAGAGCACAGCCCAGTTTCTCGGCGGTAAGTCTCAAAGAAATAGAAGTGCTGTCCTCTTCCTCCTCTTCAGGTGACGCCCGAGGAGCCCGACTTCTCAGCAGGCGTACCTGAGCATCGACACTCACCACGAGCTCCCCGATATACAAGACAAGTGCAGGCTCCAGCTTTGTATGGCTACTACGGGTTCTCACTGCAATAAATCACATCGATTAATATTTCGATGAAAGAGCAACGCTCACCTAAACAAAACTCAAATCGGAGAAATCCATTACCTACTGAGCATCAGTACATATGAAAGTTTACTTGTGGTAAAATACATCAAGACTTTGGCACAGGTTTAATCGTGCATTTTACAGAGTCAAGTATAAACTGAAACTGAGTGAAGAAATGAGAAAATGGCAAAACAAATGCAATTTCGTGCAAGGGGAAGTAGTATTTTTCATAAATATTTCCAATTAACTATTTAAATTCAAAACTATAGTTTCGGAAAAACACTTTTTCTAAGTTGCTAAATTAAAACAAATATTATAGAATCCTGATTTCAGAAAGCTCACGTCATTAGCTTAATTCGATATCATATAATAATACAAATTCAATCTTAGACTATGCAAAAAACTGACGAAAAAGTAATTTAAAAAAATCATACATGCTGCTATTCAAAATTAAATCATGCACAGATTAGAACGCACCAATGAAGTCTGCAGCTTTAGTGTCAACGAAGGCATAGAGGCAGATGAAGGCCGAGTGCACGACAGGTGAGACTTTTTTCTCATCATCTTCATGTTGCGATGAAGAGCATCCGAAATCGAACTCGTCTTCCGGCGGCAGCTCGAGCGCATCTGAGCGCAAGCGCTGCCGATGCCAGTCCGACACAAGACGCAGTAGTCCCACTACAATACCTGCTCAATGTCATCTCTCTGAGTGATGGCTGGTCATTGTTGATTAAGTGTGGGTGGTTAAGTGATTTTCCCAAGTGCAGAAACATATATCCAGTAATAAATCAAGAACATGAGGCATAATACACTGATTTTCTTTATGTGCAAATAATAACTTTACTAATATCAATATCAAGATAATTGTGTTACTATATTAAAATTACACACCTGTATCAGCGTAGCGTTCAGACATAAAAACTTTGGCAAGAGGATCTTTGAAGAATAGTAACTCCTCCAAAAGATAAACGGCCTTTGATACCAGCTCAGCTGGAATGAAAAAAATTAATTGTGCTTACGTAGGAGAATTGATAGAAAATGTTACGGGCATTTCTTGTCAAGCTTCTACTGCCACCTACTTCAAATATAGTAATCTTGTTCATTTTTGCAGTCTGCCTACCTAAGAATACAATTTCATTATCTAGGAACAAATCTATAAACTTTTTTCTATTTTCTTTTCAATATATTTAAGATAACTATCCTATAGCTTTTGTCAAAATTGGTTCTAGTAAAACACAATGCCTTCCCATCAACAGTCAGTTTTGTAATATTAGTAAAGAATATAAATAGAAATCTAAAAAAAATTGAAATGAAGACGCCAGAAAGAAAGAGACTACTAAGATAGCGGCATAACCATGCCTCACCATGTAAGCTGTTGAGAAGAGTGAAGGCCAAAAAGTGTTCCAAGTTACAACTTTTAAGTGCTAACGCTAGAATCTTGCAGGAATCATCAACTTTAGGAGAAGTTTGATCAGCTAACTGACTCCCAGTTGCTTCAACAGTCTGAGTAGTTGTGTGCAAATCTTCAGATAATTCATCTAATTCACCTACAGAGGCAGATCGTCTGTAGAGACCAGCTTCATCGTTATTAGTTGAGTCTACCATCTCAACTTCATTATCGCCATGCTCATCTTGTTTAATACTTGCTAGAAGAAGAGTATGTAATGCTTCGCGTCTCTGCACTCTATTGCAGTAATACACGAGTCGGTGGAGGAGATTGAATGCTTGCACCAACAGAGGGCTGTAACTGCTACGTTCTGGTAATGATACCAGCAGCAGTGGCAAAGATTCATTCATCAGAACAGCTTTGCAGCCTTCGTCTTGGTGACAAATGTTGTACACAAGGCCACACAGAATCTCCTGTAAATGCATGATTTAGGACACAGCAATGAAATATATGTAGAGAAAACATGGCTTCAACAACACTTTATGGCTTTTGATTGCTAGCTATAAGAATACACTGCTCGGCTCTTGGCATGTCAAAATATAGTACATAACTCACAGTGAGCCGAGGAACTATAGGGTCCCTGAGTGCATAAGCCAGCATGTGAAGCACAAGTTGGTCACCCAACTGCAGCACATGTCCAGCTACCAGATTGTCAGCACACATGTCCCACAGCTCGCAAGTGCACTGTTCAACATCTTCTGGCAGCTCAACAACATCCTGCTTAACGGGAGTAGATATATCTTGTGCTGCATGTTGATCATCACCAATAGTATAGTTTGGAGTGTCATCTGCAGCAACTTGTTGAGGAGTTTCAAAAGCATTGAACTCTGAAGACTCATTCTTAGCTGCAAGTGAGCTCTGTACTGGAGTGACATCATACCGAACTAAGTTTGTTTCCTTTTGAAGTGATGGTAAAAAGTCATGAAGAGTCTGGAAATCAATAAAAATAGAATGAATTTAGCATTAGAAAATTCACAAAAATGTAATTTATATACAAATAACTCAAAGTAAAATATTTATTAATTTCATGTCATCAAAACAACAAAGTGAGGCAACATTCATCTCTCATAAAAATATAATGAAAACATCTACACCAATTTGAGAAGTACTAATAGTTTGGTTTTGCTCAATTTAATAAATTTTCAATTATTAGGGAAAAGTTATACAGGTGTATGTAACTAAAACTGTATCAAATACTAACATTCCAAACTTTCATTAATGTACTGAGAACCCAGCGTTGGTTGTAGGCAGTTCCTTGAATGTTGTCTCCAAGGAGTGCTTCTTTCTGTTCAGCACTCAGCCAGGCAGGTGGACAAGGGTTCACATGCTATAAAAATGACAATAATTAGCAAAATACAAAAGATTATTTAAATTTTGTTATGTTTTTCCATTGCAGTGAATAATACAATGCTCAACTGAGTCAACTCAATATCAAGAAAAATAACACTTCTTATTAATAAGAATAATACTTTTCAATTAATTGAAGATATAATTTAATGAAGACCTGAAACTAAATTTGGAATGATCTATAAACTTTCATAAACAGGGCAAAGAAATTTGTCATGAATGGTTGGACATAGATAAAAGAAAATTTAATGGAAATAGGAAATCAGGATTTGAAAAAACAAGATCTCTATCTTGCAGACTTACTACTCAAGACAATACTCATGAGTCATGACTCATTTCACTATGGTCTGAAGATAGAATATTAAGATAATAATTAATGGTTGAAGTTTTATCAAACCACAAAAAACAAACCTGCAGTTCTTCCTCCATTTGAAAATAATAGGATGTACTAGCTCACTTTGTTATTGGTACTACTATGGAAGCTGTTTCAAATCTACTTTCTCATGAACACAATCAACAAAACAAACTAAAGAAAGATAAAAGATTATTCATTAGCCTTGGCCCTTAGGCAGTAACTAGTAAGCATCATGGCAATTGTGTCCAGTTCTAACAGAACAGTTATTGATAACTTCAATTAAACAGTGTAAAGTGCAAACTCAATAGATGACAATATTTCATTATTTGCCAATATTGCAATACCTATGTAATTGCTTCAGCCAATGGCACATAATTAGGTAGGGTAAACGCGGTATATTCCGACACATTAAGGACGCATCGAGAAATGGAAAAACTATAAAAAAAAACCGTATGCGTTACGAAAGTTCTGTTGCCTTCACGTGACTCTCAAAACACTTCACTACGCGTCAGCAACGATGAAACGTCACAAAATGTTGCCATATTTATTAAAAAGCCTTTAGAATGGAAACCCACCAAATCCCTATATTCCGTCACTGTGTGTGGCAATATTCGACACGTGGTGAGTTGTATTGCGTCAGCGCTTCAAATTTAACTGATACGTAATGCCGACATCAACGTATTCGAATTCCGTTCGCTGTGTGAGCTGTACTGGGATACAACACAGCCTTGTATTAGAACACTTACGAATATTGAACACTACTTAATTACGTTTTAATTAACAGCTATTAGGCTTTTAATTAAGCAAATTTCAATTTTTGTACAAAGCTTGGAACATAGTGGCAAAGCAGAGAGTTTTTCAGACTCTCCCTGAAGTTCATTTTTGAGTCCTATAAGTAGACCAGTAAAGTATCCTGGATACCAGCAATATCATACTTAAGAAATTGGTTTAAATCTTGAGTAAATGAGGAAATTAAAAAGGAACTGATTCTAAAAAAGCTCTGGTTTGCCACTATGGCTTGGAACATAGGTAGTGGCAAACCAGAGCTTTTTTAGAATCAGTTCATTTTTAATTTTCTCATTTACTCAAGATTCAAGCCAATTTCTTATGTATGATAATGCTGGTTAATATATTCACAGACGTATTTAAAAGTCTCAAACCATAATATTCTTCCTATAAAAACAGTTATTCTCTATTTGGTAGAGCAAGGTCAACTGTCAAATTTGACACATTTTTTGATGATCTCACCAGGTGGCATGCATTGTCTCTCTTTGGATCTCAATATTTTCCCACTAGATGGCCAAGACCTAGTGTTTTTGCAGTATTTCAACACGCAGATGTATGACGTCACCATTTCAACCATCAATGAACGCATGGAACTAAAACAAAGCTTAATATAAAGGAAAAACTAGAGAAGTGACGGAATTACCTATAATGTCGGAATATACCGCGTTTACCCTAGGCCCTTAGCATGGACAATAGCAGCAAAATTTTAGCAAGAATAAAAACAGAATGTTGGAGCAGCTAAATTTCCAAATCATTCAAAATACTTTACTTTGCAGAATGCAGACCTAAAAGAAAAATACAGTTGTTAACAATCAATGATGGAAATAATACATTTTAGAAGTGTTTGGTGTTGAGTTGGTGTCCACTGTCCACAAGTGGGCCTTTGGTTAGATTAAAATCCGTAGATAGCTAGGATGATCATTTGAGCCGCAGACTCTCAGAGCTGGTACCTTAACCGCCTAACGGCTAACTCAGCTTCTCAGCCTAAGTCTGCCTAACCGTACAACTACAACTCATGAATCATGATTGCTGACGGGTTGAAGGTGAAGAAAAAGTCACGCCGCTCACGCGTTGACCACTGGTGGTCTGGTAACACCTTGACTTAGCAATGATCATTTACTAGTTCAAGTATCAAGTCTCCAAGTTCAACATCTCACTTTCATTCTTCTCTATGCATACGCTTGTTCTCGAAGTCGTCAGCAGTCTCTCACAGGTCCAAGCCTCACTCACTCCAACTACATAACTTCTCGCACAGTCTTTTCTTTAGTTGGAATTTATGGGAGCCTCTGAAGACTTGTTCAATGCGGCCCCACGTCAGAACAGTTCAAGGAATTTGACTGAATTTTGTTTTAAGGTACAATATTGGGTGTCTTGAAAAAAAATCGAGATTTCTCAATGGCTGAAGGGTTGCAGAACGGGGCCACCAAAGTAGAGACCACACCGGGGCAGAGAGCACCACTCCAGGGCAGAAAGCCCCACTCCAGGGCAGAAAGCCCCACTCCAGGGCAGAAAGCTCCACTCCAAGGCAGCTAGCCCCACTCCAGGGCAGAAAGCCCCACTCCAGGGCAGAAAGCCCCACTCCAGGGCAGAAAGCCCCACTCCAGGGCAGAAAGCTACGAACCCGGGGGCACTAACCACACATGGAGGCATCTTAAAATCTTAGTAACAAATTTTGCAGTTAGTAGATGCCGAGAGCATTTATAGGTGTTCAGGAGTTAAAAATCACTTTATAGCTGGTCGTACCGTTCGCCGGCTCAACGCCTCGGAGCGGGACAGCACGGCATTTTCAAAGTTTGAGGAGGATAGTTCCAGAAAGATGACGTAGCAGCCGGCCAAAGCCGACTACTGTCACGGGAGCTCAGCACAAACAACCTCCTGCCTCAACGGTTAGAACAGAACTCTCTCGCACAGTCGCACCGACCTCAGCTCAGCAAAATCGGACCTCATTTTCCTGTCAGTGAGTACGGATTATTTGATATTTCCACCAGAAATCGTGGTCAGTGAAAACATCTTGAACAAATAAGTAATAACGGGCAAATTTTTGACGATATTATCGGCAGGAATTTCAACTCTGCTCCATATCTTTTTAATAGGCAATTACGGAAAAATCACGCTCATCTCCTACTATACTATTATGATATAAAAAGCAAGGGTCTGATTCTATACAACGGATAAATTAAAATTAATTAGAATTTTTTGTGTCTCATTACTTCTAAATTTTTGCTGTAAAACTTGCTATTTATGAAAGCAAACCACGAATACCTCATACTAGCGTAAATGCCGTGAGATACAGTCGACTGCACTTAATTTTATATTTACCATTAATCGTTATCCAAATCAATTTAAAATAACAAAAGTAATGCAAGTTTTGATTACGTGCAAGTCACTTGAGCCTCTCATAATTCATGGGTAATTTGTGCCAAACTTACAAATAACGGTGTGTATTAATGTATGAAAATGGCTAAAGAAATGTTGGGGACAACAACTTTTTGAACAATGTTAGAGAAACATAGGAGGGGAAGAGTTCTAATGTACGTGAAAAAGAATAAAGAATCGCCAAAAAATCAATTCAAAATAATGAAAAATTAATGGGAAGTGCAGAAAAATGTTTGGCTAATATAAAGTGATTTTGTAAATGTGTATAAATGTGAAAGAAATAAAAAGGATATGCGATGTGTAAGGTAACAATATTTCTACCATTTGTCCCTGGATATTTCCTCATTAATATCTTCCTTGTTGAAAGATAATCTCCTTCACTTCGATATGTTCATAAACATTTCCTTGTGGTTGCCTTCCCTGTTTATTAAGTCACGCCCTTGGTGACGTCGTATAGCGAAGCTATAAAAGCTCTGTTTCAAGCGATTAACTTCAGTCTTGGGCGAGGACCGCTATACGGTATACCCCATTGCTCCTGTCCATGTCAAACAGGACAGTAACGCTAGCTGAACGTCTGAGTGGAGAACGCCCCGCGGATACACTCTAGACTCAATCATTTATTTACTTCAACTGGACGCCGAAGACATCATTGTTAAAGCTCCAACTTATAAATTTAGATTATCCTAGACTGTAAGCCGAACTATAATCCTACAAGTATATTATATAATCGTTTACGCTGTTCCTCTATAACCTCGGATCCCGCTACAGAAGAACCACCCTCAGGTCATAATTAACTACGATTCAATATCAGAGTTGCATAGAAAAGCAACCTGATACAGATGAAAGAAAACTAAAAACGTGTGTAACAACCCTTATGTGTGTATGAGCACTGAATAAATGGAACGATAAACTCCACCGAAGTGAGAGTAAAACAAAACGATGATATACTTGAATATTTTTTTACGGGAGCGCAGCCGTGCACCACCAATTTTGTGCACCAGTAAGCCCTGAATCGAACGCCTTGGATCTCTTCGGACCTACACTAATCAGCCGTGCACCACTCGGCTTTGTCCTCTTCCGGCCTTGACCACCACCTGCCGTGCACCACCAGGCCGCGGATCGAATATGACTTCCAGGCATCGTTAAATTACGTAACTTTACGTTCACCGCATCTTAGGGTAGGTTTCAGATAGCATAGTTCTGTTCCAAAATGTATCGTCCTTCGACAAGTGGCCGTTCGACCGAGGGCTGGTTCAACCCAAGACCTAGATACGGACGGCTTGAAGTGTTGAAGGCTACGTTCCGGAAGGCAGGAATCATGATGGTCCATTACAACCAGAATGTTCCCTTACCCCCTACATTTTAATTTCAATATCAATAAACTCAACCCTCTTACATCCCACGATGTCTTATACAATGTGCTCAAGCAGCGTCTTCCATTAAGGTGCGACTTGGCGTCAGGGACCCAACC